GGGTCAAGGGCACAGTTTGCATGTTCTAACATTTACTTTTTTTTAATTTAGTATGGAATATAATTAATCTGTTTCATACTTTTTGCAACAAGGTGTGACCGTTCCGGCGCTATTCTGCTTATTTCGATAGCACATTGTATCACAAAACTCTATAGACACGCCTCAAAGCTATTCACGGAGCCGTTCTATGCCATTACAATCGCGTATAATCAAATTCACGACTGCCAATGGAGTGCTCTCCGTGCCCGAAGTTGCATTTTCGTTTGGTCCCGATCGAATCTAAATCGGTAAAAGTGAATCGTATATTGCAGGCTTCGGTCATTATCCGTCTCGTTGCAACCCACTTGCATTTTTTTTTTTCATCGTTTATCGACCCCGTTATCGCCTAAGTTATTACTATTTCCGAAAATCTTGAATCGAATGTTTTTCCTTGATAGTTATTTTTATTTACGATGGATATACCAACGATGGCGTAATATCGGATTTGAGGAAGTATTGTATAATGCTAAAGTCGAATTGAAGGACAGAGCTACTGTAATGACTATAAATAAGTTATGTAAGCAAATGAAAGACCTAATCTAATTATTTAATCTCATTGTCCTCTTAGAAAGTACCGCTGCTTGTCAATTCATTCGGCGTCTGTCGTTTTTTTATGTCTTTATTCTCGGAGAGATAGACAGCCGTGTGAATTGTTTGAAGAAAGTTTTTAACTGCCGCCTACTTACTAATTTAGATTTACTTCTGATACTTCATAAGTGGCAATAGGCCGGCCATATACTTCGTAGAACCGATAACCACGTTGAGTACATAGAGATTACAGGCTATGCACTAAAAAAACTTACCAATGGTTACAGTTGAAACTCAATAAACACGAATAGCCCATATTTAAAGTAAAATTAACAATTCAAATCTGTAAATGATGATTTTAATTCGTCTTTTTAAGTGTTTTAGGTTTTAGGATACGCAAAACTTTTTTTCTTGCATATAGTGCACGCTCCTGAGGAAGATCGCTCTGGTGGCAGTCTCGTATTGGCTAACGTAGTGTCGAATGACCTTCCCACTAACAGGAGTGACGTACCATCCTTACTAATATTATAAAGGCGAAAGTTTGTATGTATGGATGGATGTTTGTTACTCTTTCACGCAAATACTACTGAATGGATTTTAATGAAACTACAATTATATAGCTTATACATCAGAATAAAACACGTTTATAATACATATTTTTATGTACATATGCCTATAGAGCCGTAATAGCTCAGTGTCCGGGCGCTCGCCTTTAATTCAATATACTCGAGCAACCTGAGTTCAATCCCCGGTGCCAGCACCAATGAAATTGTCAATTTTAAGTGCTGAATTATCACGTGCCCAGCGGTGAATATATGCTATACATGTCCCACTGCTGGGCAAAGGCCTCCTCTATACAGAGGGTATCAGGGCATAGTCCATAGTCCACCACGCGGCCCCACTGCGGATTGGCGGACTTCACATATCTTCACAACAACAATTCTGTCACATAGCGGAGAGTGTTATTTGTGTTTGAAGACAATGTCTAGTGGAGACAAGCCTATCATCATCTCTTGGTGTTGGAAAGCTCCTGAAAATTTTATCGTCTTTATTTATTCTTTTAAACACGTTGCTTTTACTGTAGGATAGCATCTATCCCGTGTTGTAACGGACGGTTGGACGTTTTAAAACATAAATTTCTCGTGGACTAGCACCCAGATCCGGAACAATTATCTGTGGGTCACACAAATAGTAGTCCCGTGTGGGGATCGAACCGACTATCCCCGGCGTCAATGGCAATACCTCGACAACTGCGCCACGGAGTCATCAAGAGTAAATTGAATTAAAAACGAGTGCCCCGTCACTGAGCCATCACGGCTATGTACGTATGTAGGTAGTTATATTTTAGAAATGCATCCGAATAACGGTCTGCACGTTCGCGTCGAATAATCACTACATAGTTTAAAACAAAGTCGTACCCGCTGTCTGTCTGTCCCTATATTTTTTTTTATGTGAGAAAGTGGCAAACGAGCTGGCGGTTCACCCGATGTTAAGTGATAACCGCCTGCCCATGGACATTGTAAAACCCGTAGGGTTGCAGATGTGTTGCCACCTCTTATAATGTTCCCGGCTACCTCATTCACCATACGAAACGGAGAAGTGCAACTCTTCTACTTTACGCCGGTCTTCTGTGAGGTCGTGTGCAACCCGAACGGACCTGCCCATTCGTGCAACAGCGAACACTGTTGCGTGGCCCTACCACAGCTTATGTATATCATATATGCTTAGATCTTTAAAACTACGCAACGTATTTTGATGCGGCTTTTTTTTATAGATAGAGTGATTCAAGAGGAAGTTATAATTTATGCATATAGTGGAGAAAAACTGATAATTTTAGTGATTTCTAATGCGATGTCGAAAACAAACGTTCAGCATTGCACCCGTGTGAAGCCGGGGCGGCTCACTAGTTATCTTATAATTAGGCGCGTAGTCTTCGACGTCGCTCTCACGCCTCAGCCCGCGTAATGGTTCCGTCGGCCATTAACTTTTGTCGCCAAGTTGAGTTCACCTCGACCGCGTCCCGTCGCCGAGCTTAATCGTTAATCTCGCGTTAATCGTCGCGTGAACTGCTGATAACTAGGCCGTGCTTCTCGTCTGATACGAATTGCGAAACGAAACGGAACGGCGCATCGAAATTTCAATACTGGGGGAAAGATTCATTCATATCGAAGGCCATGTACGATACAGAGCTAGATTTAACGATTAATATTTTTGTATAGCGGAGAAAACTTTAGCAAACGTTATTATAGACTATAAGCAAACCAAGAAATAATAAAAATAAAAATCTATACTTTTGATTCTACACTTTTTTTTCATATCTAAAAAATATGTATACATACATCTACGCCTCTTGGCAGTAAATATCACGTTTGCATTTATGACTTTTTATATTTTTGTGGTCTTCTAAATGAATATCCTTTAGAGATCCTAGCCAAACTTCTAGAAAAATTATTTTCAGTCGTCGCGTCCGTCGATAGGTGAAACCGCATGGCGTGAAACCTATGAGGCCAATTGTCACAGTTCTATTTTATATTATACTAGCGACCCTCCCCGGCTTCGCACGGGTGCAATGTATTATACATATGAACCTTTCCCTTGAATGACTCTATCTAGTTACAAAAACCGCATCAAGATCCTTTGTGTAGTTTTAAAGATAAGCTAAGCATACATAGGGACAGACAGACAGCGGGACCACTTTGTTTTATACTATGTAGTGATGCACAGCAAAGAGACGTTTAAATTTCAAGTGACATTTTACCACAGTCACTCAATTGTTTTGCCTTCCCCTCCACTAACACTAAACTTTATGGTATGGTATTAAAGTTCAAATTGACAAGTATTATTACGAATCTTTTGTACGGGAATATAGAAAAGTGTTTAAACTTTTTCAAGCAATTTTTAATTTTTTTTCTTTCATAAGATGGGATGAAATCGGTTCAGCCGTTCACGCGTGATGGCGTGACCAAGGGAAATAGGGATTCATTTTTATATATACAGCGTGTCGTTACCATCGCGACAATAAATGAACACACGTCTAACGCTACTTGCCAATAATCATAAAAAAATATTAACGTTAAACAAAATTCATAATTAAAAAAAATATATTTCAAACAAAGTAATTAAGTAAAAAAGAAACAAAATTTGTAACACCTATACAACTCGCGCCACAGGTCGTATTACAACCCTCACCTTCTAACAGTATGTTTTGCCTCTTTTAAATTCATTCAACCCATTCATATACTTTGTGACCTTTACAAATGAACTTTACGTTACGCTTTTATAGGTAAGGGTGTTCTAAAATTCTTTGTTTTGGAAAACTTAATAACCCTGTAAATATTGATGTTTAAAGAATTTAAATTTTTAATACAACTTTAAAAAGTTATCCCCTATATGTGTGTTCATTTATTGTCGCGATGGTAACGACACACTGTATATATAGATTTTTGAAATGGGTAAAAACAATAAAACTTTGTTATTCAAATATTTCAATAATTATTTGCGGCCTTTAATGCAATTTTCCCTTTATTTTGCGTAGTACCATAATAAAGTTGTTAATTATCTATTAACTTTGATATTTAAGTTCAAATGATAAAAACATTTATTGTTGAAAAACAGTTAACTTTGAGCCTTCGCGTGCGTATTAAATTTTATGCGCTACTATGCGTGGACAAGCGTGCTTTTGGCTCGTTATATAAATAGTTTTTCGGCTGTTCAACCTTGATCCAGTGAGTTGAAGCCTAACATACACGTAAAATACGGCATTCTTATCCATACTAACGACCCGCCCCGGCTTTGCACGGGTGCAATGTACATATTGAATTTCTCATTTTTTCTCTACTAAAATGTGCATGTGTGCACTAGTTTAATAAACCTTCCGAATCACTCTACCTATTAGTGAAAACTGTATTAAAATCCGTTACGTAGTTTAAAAGATCTAAGCGTACAAACATCGGGAGCGACTTTGTTTTTTTTTTATACTATATAAAGATGATATGAAAAATGTAGAGTAGTAAAGATCATGCTTCTGAAACTAATCTGTGTAGTTAGTCAATGGCCCTTTAAATGGAGCATATTGAATATAATGTACGACTTATTTTGACCTGGATCTGCCGAAGATTGTTTTTATGGGGTGGCATTCAAGAATGCTGTACACCTTTTGTTATATTGACTTATGGATTAGTAGTTGCGTTGACAACCTTTCAGAAAGTGGGTCTCAGTTACCTCACTCACTATACGAAATTTAAAACTAACCAACATTTGTATTTCACGTCACTAAATTTCGATGGTGACCGCACAGGCCGTGGACTTGTTCCGAACATTATTAATTAAAGACTATGAAATCGGGGCAAATTTAAATCAATAGGTACAAAAAACCGGTTTATATACATGTGTTCACACCATCATTTTTTGTCTCTAACGACGCCCGTTTCCAGGGAACGTTTAACGGTGACCACGCGACAAGTGACCTCGACGGAGACCGAGTTGCCTCGGGCGCCGCCCACCCACGCGGGCACGATCCGCACGGAGGAGTACAAGCGGGACCTCGCGGAGTTCCAGGCGAGGAGGTCCGCCGGCGGCAAGGAGCCGCAGACGACGCCGGTGAAGAGGAAATGCGGCCGCCACTCGCTGCCCGTCTCGTGCACCGACTGCGCACGTGACCCGGACACCAGCTTCAACTACGAGAAGAAGTCCGCGGCAAAGTACAAGAAGCGGCAGCAGAAGCTGACCGGCGACAACGTGCCGAACATACAGTTCCTGTTTCAAAACCAGGTGTTCCTCCCAGGAGATATGTTCTCGTCATACTCCGAGCCGGCCAAGTCGCGCCGCTCGCAGCGAGCATACAGATCGCCCGAAGCGGACTTTGGGGCGCAGAGGCACATCGATTTCAGCGATGAGCAGCCGGCTTCACCGCCCCTGTTCTTCAAGAACAACTCGCTGGCGTTCGACGTGGGGAACTTTCTGGACGCCCCGCGGGGAGACGAGGTGGACGGGCGGAAAGGCGAGGATCTGGACCCCTCCGGCGGCAATTCACCGGCTGAACTTGACAAGGACGACGGTTGCGACGAGAAAATGTGGGAGGTGATGAGCGAGCTGAGACACTTCGACCAGTGGGCCGATGAGCAATTGCACGCGCCATCTGCTAACACTACAAAGTCCGACGACAATAAAGTAAGTATTTACATATTGTAAATTGGTTTACAGTGAGTACCATAGCACGTTCGTCACTGAGTTATGAACCGAATTCAAAAATGAGGTCTCCGGTTTTTTTTTATGTTTGTTACTTCATAATTTCGCCATTTATGCAACGATTTAAAAAAACTTATTTTTCCATTGGGTTTGGTTTTTGGTTCATTGGTTATGGACTCTAATGCTACAATAGGGATCTACTAGGGATTTACAATGTAGGCGTCTTCAAGGCAAGAGTGAATAGGTTTTTACTGAAGCTAGCGCGCTTACCATCAAAGGCTGCATCGCCACTTACCATCAGGTGGGATGGCAGTCAAGTGCTGGCCAGTTCTAAATAAAAAAAAAAAAAAAACAAATCATTTTTTTTATGTGAGAAGACTTTTAAATGATAACCGCCGCCCATAGATATTAGCAACACCCGTAGGGTTGCAGATGCGTTGCCCTTCTATCAGCACGGCTATCGCACATAGCAGGCGGAACGCAGAAGTGTAACAATTTCGCCGGTCTTCTGTGAGGTCATAGTACTTATACGGACGGACCGGCCCCTTCGTGCAACAGCGAAGACTTGCGTGAAATTACCTTAGATTCATTTTGGCGTCAAAATAATATACGATCCGCAAAAAAAAATAACGAAGGGGCCAATTGTCTTATGTCATTTTTTATTTAATGAAAACAGTTGATTGAGACTAAATCGCATGAAAAAAAAAGAAAAGTAGTCAAATAAATCATCTTTCATAATGAAACCAATAGTTTGAGACTAAATCGCTTGAAAAAAAAAGAGGGAAATTTAACCAAATATATCATCTTTCATTTAATGAAAACAGTTGATTGAGACTAAATCGCTTGAAAAAAAAAAAAGAAAAGTAGCCAAATAAATCATCTTTCATAATGAAACCAATAGTTTGAGACTAAATCGCTTGAAAAAAAAGTAACAGCCTATGCCACGTTCTTAGTACAGAGGGTATTAGGCTAGTCGAACACACGATAAGCGGACTTCATATCATAGATTTCATATATCATCGAAATATTTTTTTATTACTAATTATTTCGAAACTATGCAGGTTTCCTTACGATGTTTTCCCTTTTTTCATGTTAAAAATTGCTAAGCAAGCAGACGGTTCCCCTGGTGCTGAGTGAATACCACCGCACATGAATGAAACAGATGCTACACCTGAGGGTTTCAGATGCGTTGACAACCTTTTGAAAATTGGGCTCCGGCTACCTCACTCACAAGACGAAACGCGAAAGTTACTTCCACTTTACGCCGGTCTTCTGTGAGGTCGCGGTACTTACCCGGACGAGCCTGCCCATTCGTGCAACAGCTGAGGCTGCTGCGTGGCCCTACCACCGTAAAGTCTTCATCGCTGAGCACGTGATAAGTCAGCACATAAAATTGCAATCAACAGTTTTATTGCCGGCACCTGGATTTAAGCAATTGTTTCTCTAGTATATTCAATTTAGAGCGAGCGGCACGGACACTAAGCTATAACGACCCTAAATCGCTTGCTTAGAGATTTAAGGTCACTGTACAGGTTTATAAAATAATATAAGAGGTGCTTACATAAATACATTTTAATTAAACGAAATGTAAATTATCTTTTCGTGAAATCTGCGAACTTAAACATTTTTCTTAGTTAAGTTACACGCGGACGAAGTCGCGGATAGCGGCTTTAAAGTTAGAGTAGCAAAGATAGAGTATTTAAAGTTTAAAGAAAACTCATTTCTGTTTCTAACGGGGCGGTGTATTTATACAAAGCAATTATAATGGTTCTAATGTAGCGAGGCAGGTCGTTGGTACAGTTTAAACTTATTACCGTGGGATACGGGTCAGTCACAAAAATAGAGAATCTATTCAAAGCTACCTTTTTTGTGCATACTCGAATGTTTAGTGACATTCACCTAGATTAGCTTAATATATATATAGATTAATATTTCTAATAAAAAATAATAATAAATTTATATTTGTGCTCTGTTTGGAATTTTGTATGTTGTTACGTTTTTATCTAAATCTTTATCTATCTCACCTACACGACACTACGTGGAGTCAGCACGATTATTGGCTAGCTTTTTTGAACGACCGGCCGCGTGCCTGACAACCCTTGGAAATAAACACCTAGATCCTGTAAAATTATCTGTGGGTTGTTTTACCCACCAATACCAGTCCCGTGTGGGGATCAACCCTACGAACCGCGGTGCCGAAGCTTAACACCGAGTCATAACCTATCTAGATAAAATTCTAATAATGAGTGTTAGGCATATCATATAATTTACTATAGTTGATCTAGTTAGTAACAATCCTAGTATTATTTTATTACTTACTATTACTTATTTACCGAGGACTGATGGGTGGACGAAATAATCGTGAGGAGATAATTATACGCAGTTCGCGAGATGCAAAATACCCCATTTTGCCCTAATAATCTCGTGTCTAATAGGCTTCCAAGTTATAGTTTAAAATACAATAAAAAATCCTTAATGCGTGAATGTTTATTAAAAAAAATAGACAGCGAGCCTTTTCTAAGTGTATCCATTTTTTTTTATTAAATTCTAGACATAAATAATGTTATATAAAAAATGATGAATATTTAAAATCACTCGTAATTATTTAATTACATTCATTTTAACTTATCTCAAAAAGTGCGTGATATATGGGCATATAATTTATTTTACGCGCGGTCATTCATAACTAACACGCACACAAGTTCGTTTCAAAAGTATAAGACGCATTTATGAATGACTACCGCGTTATCAACAAGTTTGTTTTTTAGGGAATAGAATCGTAATTTTTTTGAAAATAAAAAGTTTGTTTGTATTTCAAGTAACGATAATACTATCGAGTCTGAACCTCCTGTGTAAACTTGGGCACCTTTAAAAAAGCCTCCCTGTATATAACGTGGTGTTGAGAAAAACAGTCGTTACTAAGTGAGGCTACCTCCCCTGATCTTGATTTAGAGTGACGCGAGCGTGTACGGCTTGCCCGTGACCAGCTCCAGCGATCTGAGCGTGACCCTGGCCAAGGCCAGCGCTTGGCAGCCCGGCAAGTGGGGCGTGGTGCCGGTGCAGATAAAGAAGCTGGCGGGAGTCACGTTGGAGCACGTCAAGAAGAAACGCAACGCGGAGATAAATATATTACGGTAAGTCCGTTTACATTTTCGTGTATATTTCTAAGCTTTGGTAGTGGAGAAGTTAAGCGAATTGGTTCACACGATGTTCAGTGATAATCATCACCCATGACATTTGCAACACCAGTGGATTGGGAAAGCTGCATATTTTCAAAATAAAAAAGAACAAAACGTTTCGTAGACATAAATTTTTATGTGCTCTAAACGTGGGTTCGATTCCCAGAGCGGTGAAAAACTTTTCGTACTTTTTTTCTACAAATTTTAATGTTTTGACGATATGCGAAATCCGCCAATCCTCAGTGGAGTCGCGTGGTGCACTATGCCTCCATGCCATCTGTATAGAGGAGGCCTTTGCCCAGTAGTGGGACATATATAGTTAGATAATTTACGTTTACTTTGTGTTTAAAACTCCAAAGAACTGTTAATGATGTGATCATGTGGAGTGATTTTTCAATACATTAATAATATAGTATTTTCAAATTAAGCTGTTTACGTTTCCACAGAAAATATCGCCACCCGAACATAATATTACTGATGGGACTATTCCTGGACGTCCAAAACAACGTGAACATAATCTGTGAGAGATGTACGGACTCGCTGTACGGCATCCTCCATGAGCAGGTATTGTTAAAACTGAGTTTTCTTTTTTGCTGGGCATTTTAAATTTACGGTCAATACAATAGTTACAAGATGGAAACTTGCCTTGATTGAAACATTATGTATGATTTCAAATATTAAATTTGTATTTAAATAATACTAGTGCTATTATATATTTAAATAATATTAGTGCTATTAGTAATTATAGTGCTATTCTTTGCACTTATTAATCGTCTATTAGATCTAATAGAATATATACTGAAATAAAAGCGATATAGTTTGATAGTAATTCTAATCTAATTTCACTTTAACCGTTTCCCCAAGGTCTGATTAAATGTAATCGAATATTGATTAAATTTGATACAACGCACAACTTTAGTGTTCCTTCTCACGTAAGGTCTTTTTGGTCGTGTGACCCCATTTTCAATATATTTCGATACGTCTCTCTTGCATGTTTTGTATATCGATAAAGGATTGTTAAATAAAACCATTTTAACAGGAACCTATGAGCCGTGATAGCTCGGTGTCCGGGCGCTCGCCTTTAATTCAATATACTCGAGCAACCTGAGTTCGATCCCCGGTGCCGGCACCAATGAAGTTTTTAACTTTAAGTGCTGACTTATCACGTGCTCCGCGGTGAAGGAAAACATCGTAAGGAAACGCGCCGCTTTCCGGTTTAGAAATCACGCGTTCAAATAAAAAATACATATATGTGATATCTCAGTAAGGCCTTCCCTTGTGATATTTCGTGATTTTTGCTGAAATCCCCCCCCCCTTTCGAGCCTCACGCGATAACCGATCCCTACGGAATGTTGAAGTGGATTTCTGGTCCTTAGGGCCGGATACTCAGCGCCCAGACGTCGGTACAGTACGCGCTGGACATCGCGAATGCGCTCCTCTACCTGAGGATGCAGGGCTACATCCACACGCGCCTGTCGAGCTCGAGCGTGGCGGTGACGTCACAGGGCGCCGCGAAGCTCGCCGACGTCTCGCCGTGCGTCCCCCTCCCGCGCACCCAACAGAAAAGGGACAGACTATACGACGACTACTCGCCGGAGCCGCAGTACGTAAACATCCAAGGTACGTTAGGGAGATTTTTTCTTTTCAAGTGAGTAACGGTTTGCCAGATAAGTGATGGACTACTATAGCACTGAGGACGTGTAACAAACGCTGATGCTTGGTTCTACCACAAGACAAAACTCAGGCAAACCACGACAAAATGCTAATTGTCAGCTGCGTACTACACTATATTTGGTCTATGAAGTCATCATAATATGTTATGTAATACTCGCAATATGGCAAATTTCGTGTATTCGGCACCACCGCTCACGAAGACTTCAATTAAAAATCACTATTCACACACACGTTGAGTCTTATCACTACATAGTATTAATTAATATTGGACCACATGGGAAGTTTTCAAATAAAAAAAAATCATCAAAATCGGGTCACTCAGTTGAAAGTTCTGAGGTAACAAATATAAAAAGAAATACAGTCGAATTGGGAACCGCCACCTTTTTTGAAGTCGGTTGATAATAAAGAAACAAATTCAGAATATCCACAAGGGGAACTACGCCACGCAATGAACATGTGATACGGTCACCAATCATGAAATTATCGCGCGGAACTCCCCAATTTGTCGATTTCCAGAGGCGTTTACGCGTCACGTAAATCGACAAACTACCACCAAGGCCGGATTCAGGGGAGGGCGACCGGGGCTACTACCCACAAAAGAGCGGCCTCTACAATAGAGACTTTGGAAAAAACAAATTAAATTCAGACTAGTAAACACTAGTAAACAACTTGACCTTTCATATTTTTTTCGCGTTTTACCTTTGCCCACAGTACTTTGTACAAACACGATTAAATGAAATATTAACAGAAATCGATGGAAAATAATTATGGCCCTCTTAATCCTGCCCTGACTGACACAGTCGTTTGTCTTTCTCAATGCCATCCGCAAAGATTATGCGGTGCTACCTTACATCCTCTAATTTTAATACGTGTTTCGTAACTCGTTGACGACATGTCTCGTTTCATTGTTATCGAATTATTGTTTAAAAACAATGTAGAGGTCAGTGATACAGATAATGGTATGCACGATGAAATGACAGCTTTCTTAGATTACTCTGTATTCTTTTGAAACTTTTATATAAAAAAAACGTGTAAATAAAACTGTTGCAGAATTTTTACGTCTCTGTCGTAATTCGATCCCGCACCTTCCGGATTCTGTTCTAGCTACTAAGCTAAGAGGTCGACATCCTTACCGTCCGAAAATCGACATCTTATACGGTTTTTTTTGTTTCAATCGCATTTGAAGCTTGGCATTATCTAATTACATCAATCACACTTTCTCTAATTACATTTTTAGGATTAATGTTTGACAACTAGAGATGTAGCGTTTGCTATTGATATTAAATTTTAATCTATAGTACTACTTAACCATTACTATACAAATCTTACTCACTCTGCCTTCGATTCGGCACTAATTGCTATTGTGTGTCATGTGGATCCATAATACAACACAGAGTACTCGTAGTATCCCACTCGGGACGAAAATTTGATTGCCCTAGGAACAATTGGTGTTGTGTTTTTGTTTTTTTTTTTCTCTGTGATTTTCTTGGGGGGGGGGGGGGGGGGGGGGTGGTTTGATGTCCTTTGTACAGTCTCCTTCATGACTTTATGCACTGGGTGTCGCGGGTTCGTTTCCCACACGGGACAAGAATTCGTGTGCCCCATAGATAATTGTATCGAATCTGGATATTGATAATAATTTATTTAAACAACTAATAGTAAAAGTACTTATTCAAAATACATTCATAAATTTGGAAGAAATAGGTTATTAATCAACTCAGGGTCTAGTGCTAGGTCACCCTGTGGCACAGAAGTCGGTGCACATATAACTAAGATCTTAAAATGCGTGTGTATCTGTTGTATATTATCAAGAAAACAATATTTCAAGGTATCTAGTATTTGTTCTGTGACATGAAATCCGTTCCCATGGTGGCTTGACGTCAATCAGGCAGTCGATCGTAAAATAATTGGCTAATGTTAGCTTATATAAATATGAATATTATATATAAATATATAATGAAACTTATGTAAACTTATGTAAAGGTTGTATTCAGTTTTGTAGACCTAATAAAGAAAAAAAAATGTTATCAAACAGCGAACCGTGCGCTTTGCAGATTCGGGCGCGCCGGACTCGAACCGGAGCGAGAGCGAGCCGCTGCTGCCCGCCAGCGAGTCGGAGGCGCACGTGGCGCGGTGGGGCGTCGCCCTGCAGCACGGCGCCTTCCGCTCGTGCCCCCACTACCGCTGGCACGCGCCGGAGCTGTTCGCGCCTGGCGCCGACGGCCTGGTGCGGCCCTGCCCCAGGAGCGACGTCTACTCGCTCGCGGCGCTGCTGTGGGAGTGCTGCAACGGTCGGTGCCGCACCGCCACCTCCCTCTCGCCCGCCACCGGCGAGACGGAGACGGCGAACGTTCACGCTGTAGACCGGACACCGACCTCCCTCTCGCCCGCGACCGGCGAGACGGAGACGGCGAACATCAATGCCAACAAAGACGTTCACATATTAGCGCGACCGGAAAGACGGAGATGGCGAACGTAGACGCTGTAGAACGGACACCGGCCTGTGTGTCCAGTCTGCTACATTGGAATTACATATTGATTATGGAATTACATCTTGCACTAAACAAAGATTACACTATGTTCTGATGACATTAAATGATAGAATATTTAGTTTAGCAATCATAAGGTTCGACGGTTTTGTAACTGACTGGCTGATTAGTGATTAATATTATTGATGGTTCATAACTGACCGAGGGAAATGTTCACAGCGGCGGTGCCGTTCCGGGAGCTGCAGTACGAGCAGCTGGCGGCACAATACGCGGGGCGAAGCCCGGGGCTCTCCCTCCCGGCGGACGGCTCTTACCCGGGAGCTCTGTTGGCTCTCCTGCGCTCCTGTCTTCAGCAGAGGAGGACTTCGCGTCCAGACCTCCCCGCGATGCGCGACTCCCTTCTAACCCTCAAGGTACCTACTAATAAATTTACACAACCAGCATTAAAGTCCATGTTTGTGGAAGCATGTTCATATTTTACCTTTCCATATATAAACACAAAATAGTTTGTTTTTACACAGTCCAAATAGTGAAAAGGCCGGTAAAACAATCCCTTCAACTCCATTGTGAGTAAACATATTATGCTACAAAATACATCATCACCTGAAAATAGAATTAATATTCACAATTTCTTTTTAATATATTCCAGCGTGACCTCGACGAGATGGAGTATATCATCATACCGGCGCGACTCTCGAGGGCGAAGCTGAACGGCAGCGCACCAAGCGCTGCCACCACCACCACCATCACCGCCGCCACCTCGCCCACCGACTCCGACCGCCAAAGCCCCGAACAAATGCAGCACGCGGCCGTCGTACACGAGCCGAGGAGGTCGGACGGCGGCGACGTGGAAGTTTCGAGAAGCGTCTCCTACCCCACGTACGAGAGGCTGTCCGTACCGGAGAGGTGCTTCATATCGGACGGGAAGCATCAGCAACCGCCCGAGAAGGACTTCTCGAGCGCCTGCTCCACGCCCGTAGAGAAGCTGCACGCGAGGGTAAGGGAGCTGGACACGCCGGGCCTGCACAAGAGCGACTCGACGGAGTACTGCAGCATACTCAGCCCGGAGAGCGCCAAGGACTGGAGCCAGCGCTCGGCGAGGCTGAGCGGCGGCTGCACGCCCAGGTCGTACAGGCCGCTGGACATCCGGGTGCCGCGACTGGACCTGGACCTGGGCTCGATCAGGGCCGCGGCGGGGGGCGGCGGCGGGCGGCCCTCGTACAACTTCGACGTGCGCAACTACAGCCTGCCCACCACGCCGATAGCGAGGAGCAACAAGCTGAGGAAGAACGCCTGGCTCTCGGGCGAGGCGGACGCCAAAGTGGGCGACGCGACGCGTTTGTTCGACGCGACTTCGATTAGAGGTGTGTGGATTAGTTTTTTTTTTTTTTTACTTTAAGTATACAGCGGTAGGGCCACGCAACAGCGTTCGCTGTTGCACGAATGCACAGGTACATCCGGGTAAATAACATGAGCTCACAGAAGACCGGCGTAAAGTGGAAGTGTAACTTCTGCGTTTGATCTAGAAAGTGCGATAGTCGGGTCGCACTTTATTAAAAGGTGGCAACGCATCGGCAGTTCTACGGCTGTTGCAAATGTCCATGCGGCGGTTGTCACTTAACACCAGGCGAACTGCCAGCTTGTTTGCCACTTTATCACATAAAGAAATTGTCAGATACTTTACTAACTTTAAAAATTATTGTAATTTATTAGTTAACTGGCAGCAACAATGAAAAGAGAAATTTGCCTTCCTCAATTGCCAAATGTTTTAACCTATGTATTTATTCTATGGCAACTTGTTGGTACATACCCGGACCTGCCCATTCATGCAACAGCCAATACTGTTGCGTGGCCCTACGGCCTACCATCTTAGCAATTCACATTACACATTTATAGAATGTGAATTATATATTTATCATGTTATAAGTCATTCAAAGCCGTGATAGCTCAGTGTCCGGGCGCTCGCCTTTAACTCAATATACTCGAGCAACCTGAGTTCGATCCCCGGTGCCGGCACCAATGAAGTTTTTAACTTTAAGTGCTGACTTATCACGTGCTCCGCGGTGAAGGAAAACATCGTGAGGAAACCTGCATATTTTCGAAATAATAACAAAAAAAAAATATATATATTTCGAAAATATGTGAAGTCCGCCAATCCGCAGTGGGGCCGCGTGGTGGACTATGCCCTGATACCCTCTGTATAGAGGAGGCCTTTGCCCAGCAGTGGGACATGTATAGGCTGTTACTTTACTTTTTTACTTTTAAGTCATTCAAATGCTTTCTGAAATTATGTTTGTATCGGTGGCATGGCATATTAAAGTTGATACATACAGCCCATGGTCAGAAGATAAAAAATTTTCTAATGACTAGTTATTTGTAATTTGTACATGTATGTTTTGTATCTTTCACAGGGAACGAGAAGCACGTTGAGACGCAAAACACATCGACGGAAACCGACGCGGACTCTGAAAGCTGTTGCTCCAAGCGATTGAGTGCACAGAGCTCCACAGGCAGTGAGAACACCGCTCGTAACAGCTACACGGGCCTTAAACGGTATTCAGTCCATTGGCATTGCCAAATATGCTACAAATGTAAAGTAGATGTGTTGAAAATTACGCGTCGAGAGGATGTCGTTCTAACAATTGGCTATAAAGTTATGGTGTGTTAACCAGAGGATACAGGTTCAAATAAGCCGAATATTTTCAATCAATTGACAAATGATAATTAATCTATTCAACTTGCATTTAATATAAATATATATATATTTAAATATTCATTTCATGTAAAATACCTAAACATATTTTAGCAAGAAAACAATTACAATTACAATAATAAAACAAACAATATTTGTTCAATATAAAAGATGCATTAGATAAGAGACAAATGTATATTGCTAATATTTACAATGATGTCCCAGTTAGCTTAGTAAGAGTTAAATGGTAAAACGATTCTGATTATTCTGAATATTGGTCTTTAATGTTTGTGACATAGTTCTTGACAAATTGTATATCAACATTTAATACTTTTTGATCTAGGGTTACATTTTACCTCTTTTGATGATTTCACACTTAATCACGGTAACGGTGGTAACGATGGTAGAGCAACGCAGCAGCCTCTGCTGTTGTACGAATGGCCAGCCTCGTCCGGGTTAGTACCACAACCTCACAGAAGACCAGCGTAAAGTGGAAGTATGACAAATACTTTCATGTTTCGACTGGTGAGTGAGGTAGCCGGAGCCCAATTTCCAAACAGGTTGTCAACGCATCTGCAAACCCTCCGCTGTAGCAGATGTCTATGGGCGGCGGTATTCACTTAACATCGGTGAACCGTCTGCTCGTTTGGAAAATATTCACATAAAAAAAAAAACAGTTATTCATCTATATCTGGCCGTTTGGGAATCTGTTTAAATACGAAATTCAATCCCAATTCCAGAGTGGGGCCACCGCACGAGGCCACCTGCTCGGAGCCTGCCAGCTCCTGGTCGATGAGGTCCTCGCGTGATGGCGCCAGCTCCAAGGTGGAGGAGGAGGCGCTGGCCCACGTGTACGTGAAGCCCCTGGTGGCCATCCACGAGAGGTGGATCCACGAGGCCAACAGGAAAACGGGACGCTCTTTGTCCCTGCCTGAGGATAATAGGTGAGGAGACTTTATTTGGCACAAACTGGCTTGGCGATGGTTTGCAGTTTGGTGATAACCTTAGCCTGTAGTCCTTTAAAAAGAAACAGGTCAGCTCTCTAATGCAAAAGTATGATATTTCCAGTTTAGCCGGTCTTATATAAAGCCCTTGCAACACGGCAGAGTCCCAGTGTAGGGTGTTACAAAAGCCATATGGCTTTTCCTTCAACAGATTTTGGCTTGTGGAATCCTATCTAGGGATGGAATATTTTTTTTATGTTGTCAGATGTTAAGTGATAACTGTTGCCCATTAATTAATTTGCTACATCCATCGCCACCTAATGATAAAGAATGCCCCGACTCGGCAGACGAAGCGCAGAAGCATGACACTTCCAGTACACGCCGATCTTCTTGTGAAATTGTGGTACTTCCGTGGAGCGACCTGTCCGTCCGTGAAACAGCAGCGTGGCCCGCGTGACTAATCTGGAGTTGGCGGCGCAGGAGGCAGTGGCAGTGGCAGGCGGTGAAGCCGGCGTCGCACCGCGTGGAGCCTCCGCCGCAGTCGCTGCCGCACCTGGCCCGCCCGCCGCGCACGCCGCGCCCCGCCACGGTCAGTGGCAACAACAAAAGTGACGTGTAGTGCCCTCTCTTTCTCTCCCCCCCTCCACCCGTCGCCGAATCGCCGTCTCTTCCCCTCGCCCCCATCAATTCACCGCCGAATCCCCCTTTCTTCTCCTCCCCCGCCCCCCTCCATCCAACGTCGAATCGCCCTCTCTTTCTCTCCCCCCCTCCACCCACCGCCGAATCGCCCTCTCTTTCCCTCGTCCCAATTCATTCAGCGTCGAATCGCCCCCTCCTCTCCCTTCCCCCTCCGTCCAACGACGAATCGCCCTCTCTTTCTCTACCCCCATATATCCACGGCCGTATAGCCCCCTCTTTTACTCCCTCCTCCATCCACGTGGATTATGTCGTCTCTGTCGACTTATTCTTGGTACAGTGGTACGAGGCGTGAATAAATTGATAAGTCATACCGTCGAAATCTTTACCGTCATTTATTATACGTATTAAAAATTCGAAACTTCAAATTTGCCGCTTTCAAACGTGTATGACTTGTCAACTTATAAGAAGTGCACGTTTCGCAGAAGTATCAATGACGCTTTGTACACATAGTGCAAATTTCCCCCTTTCGCTCTTAGTCCCATTTGGTCTGGTTACCGGTCTGGTTGGTACTTTTTTTTTGCATGCATATTCTGCACATTCGCTATAGTTAAGTTTAAGTTTTTTTTATGTCGTATAATGATATGTATGTCGCATTAACAACTGTATGTACGATTTCTTAGTGATAATAAAATGTTTAATTGCATGCTCGTCTTTAATTCACTTTAGTTTGGTAACACATAGTTTGATATAACTTTATGTGCATGTGTGAATAACTTCCATCCGAACTTTTTGCTGATGCTTTTACCCGCTAACGCTATGCTAGCTACAGCTGCTATTATATCGAAATTTAATTGACATAATACATTAATTTAACTGTTATATCAGTAGCTGTTGTGATTTAATAACGTTTCAAGCTTTTGTTTCAACTTTATCAAATTTAAAATACCTACACTTTGCACTTTCCGTGGTAGTGGACGATATTAGAGAATAATGGATATCATATAGAATGATTATATTACTAACTAGCGACCCGCCCCGGCTTCGCGTGGGTGCAATATATTATACACATAAACCTTTCTCTTGAATCTCACTATCTAGTAAAAAAAACCGCATCAAGATCCGTTGTGCAGTTTTAAAGATACATAGGGAAAGACAGACAGCGCGATGACTTTGTTTTATACTATGTAGTAATTTTGCATGTTCAAGCTGTATTTTTGTATTTCGTTACGTTCAACAACACTGAAATAACAATTCGGCTCAAGATCTTTAAAAAAACCGTAAAAAAGTTACAGCCTATACATGTCCCACTGCTGGGCAAAGGCCTCCTCTATACAGAGGGTATCAGGGCATAGTCCACCACGCGGCCCCACTGCGGATTGGCGGACATCACATATTTTCGAAATATATTTTTTTTTGTTATTATTTCGAAAATATGCAGGTTTCCTCACGATGTTTTCCTTCACCGCGGAGCACGTGATAAGTCAGCACTTAAAGTTAAAAACTTCATTGGTGCCGTCATCGGGGATCGAACTCAGGTTGCTCGAGTATATTGAATTAAAGGCGAGCGCCCGGACACTGAGCTATCACGGCTCAAAAAAACGCGGTCAACGCGTGGGCAGGTCTGTCCGGGTAAGTAAGTACCACGACCTCACAGAAGACCAATGTGAAGTGGAAGTGTGCAACGCATCCGCAACCCTACGAGTGTTGCAAATGCCAATGGGCGGTGGTTATTACTTAAGATTGCGTGAACCGCCAGCTTGTTTGCCACCTTCTGACATGAAAAAGTATGTATTGTTTTACACATGGTTTACGGTGGTAGGGCCACGCAGCAGCCTCGGTTGTTGCACGAAGGGGCAGGCTCGTCCGGGTAAGTACCACGACCTCACAGAAAACCGGCGTAAAGTGGAAGTACAATACTTTCGCGTTTCGTCTGGTGAGTGAGGTGGCCGGAGCCCAATTTTCCAAACGTTGTCAACACATCTGGGACCCTGTAGCACATGTCCATGGGCGGCGGTATTCACTAACATCAGGTGAATCATCTGCTCGCTTGACAAATTTTCACAAAACACAAACTAAAATGTATAGTCTTAAAATCTATATTTTTTATGTGAAAAGTTGCCAAGCGAGCAGGCGATTCACCTGATGTTAAGTGATTACCGCCGCTTATGGACATCTACAACTCCCGGGGACTGTAGATAGCCTTAAAAATATACTCATAACAATTTTTTTATATAAAGGATATTATTTTTATAGTGCTATTCTCTGCGTTTAAGATAAACTCGCCTAGTACTCTAGCCACTGAGCTGAACTACTTATCTTCAAACCAACGAAAATCTCAACATGTTGTATCTATTAGCGTAGAAAACCTTAAACTTCGCGTGTGTTTCCTTTACAGCAAATGACCACATAAAATAATTATTTTAAAAAGAGAGACGACACCTTCGCAATTAAAATTTAAGATGAAATCCCGGGTATCCATAGAACGCAAATCCTAACTTTAGCAAAAGCTTTTCGTGCAATTTTCTCTTCAAATTTTTTAAGTGGTTATGTGGTGCGCTATGGTACTTCACCATATAAGGTTACCTATGCGTGCATCAGCAGAATCTGCTGCGTATCCCTACCACTTCTAAAATATTTATATTGGATATATTAATATTGTAGAAAAAATAATATGTGAAGGGTGAATAAAATATCTAATGGAACTAAAATAAAATTATGTCTGCCGTTTTAAATTATATAATATAGGCCTTTATTACTGAGCAAAATGTTTGTTCACATTTCAGGCTTTCAATGGGACCAGTATTGTCAGACGCGAGACATGATTTCGAAAAGCGTTAATTTCGCATTCGACCCTGATCTCTGTAACACTTGGAAGAAAGACAGCAGTAAAGGGTGAATACTATACTATATTTTTTTATCTGCTCATTTTTCGTTGTTAATGTTTCGGTTGTGGCTATAATTGATACTATTTTTGGACAACTTGTATTTGAAATGATGATGATGAATTATGAATAGAAAACTTACTAAGTATAAAACGAACAAAATTAAAATTATGTATTTATGTTTAGAGACAGTCAAGTAAGAAATATCTAAATAATAATCTAATAAAAAACGAAGGCAAACCAAAAAGATAACGCCATCTATCCGTAGAAAATACGAACCCAAAACGAATTACAGATTTTTTATAAATTCCATGACCTAAATTGTTAGTCCCTAACGGATGTCGCCATGGCTACCAATCAACCACTAAACGAAGCCAATCGATACTTAGGGTTCGAGGTATTGAAAAAAAAAAAGTGTTACAAATGAACCGTTCAATCCTGCTGTTGCACGAATGGGCAGGCCCGTCCGGGTAAGTACCACGACCTCACAGAAGGCCAGCGTAAAGTGGAAGTATGACAAATACTTTCGCGTTTCGTCTGGTGAGTGAGGTAGCCGGAGCCCAATTTTCAAAAGTATAAAAAAAATGGACAGATCTTCGAGCACTGTGGACACGCAGAAAGAGGCCAAGGTGGACCAGGCGACCAGCACGCGCGGCATCGAGGACTTCATCCGCGACCTGATCCGGAGGGAGTTCCGGCACCTCGTGCCCGAGGCGGCCGGCGACGGCGCCGCCGGCCGCGGCGAGGAGGCGCTCAGCAGCCGCGTGGCGAACCTCCTCGAGGGGCTGCGCAGCGGCGACGAGCCGAGGCGGGACAGCGTCAAGTCCTTCTCCAGGGTCAAAATCAACGGGAACAACAAGCCGCTGCTGCAGATCACGTTCAGCCGCAGCGGCGAGAACAGCCTCCAGGTCGGTGGCCTTCGAACTGAAGCCATGCGGCAAAAGCGCGGACAACTCGCAAGCGGTAGGGCCACGCAACAGATTATGCTGTTGCACGGATGGGCAGGTCCGTCCGGGTAAATACCACGACCTACCGGCGTGAAATCGAAGTATTGTACTTATGCGCTTCGTCTGGTGACTGAGGTAGCCAGGGCTCATTTTATTTAAAGGTGGACAACGCATCTAGGGTTCCAGGATGTTGCGTCTAAGGGCGGCGGTTATCACTTAACAACAGATGAATCGCTAGCTCATTTGCCATCTTCGCACAAAAAAACGTACACTTCTGTATATCACATCTGGCCAAATGCCTCTTGTAACGGAAGATATTGCCGCATACAGTTGACAACTGCGTCAAGTTGGTCCCGCCAGTACAGCGCATGTAAAATTGTCTACATTTTTACCTAAAATAATATTCAAAAATCCATATCCAAATAACCTGATGCCAACGTTTGGAAATGTACCCCACAGTGAGCGCACAACAAACACAATGCGAGCAAAGTATTCAATGACTGACTCCTCATCATCAAAATTCATGCATTCCATAGTCTCTCAAATATCGCGTGGTAATTTTACTGAGTATTTAAAACTGCTATTAACAATTAATACTTGAGAACGGGATTTAAAAATGCTATGACTCCGTAGTTCTTATTGAATGTCAACAAAAAATCTAACTATTTGTGACACGCAGATAATTCGGATCTGGGTGTTTCAGGTGTGGCTCACGTGAAATAAATGTTTGTAAAACCTCCTTACAACACAGGATAACGTTATCCTATGTAGTAAAAGCAATGTTTTAAAAAGAAAAATAATTTTATTAATTAAATCATCCCTACATGATTGAATCCAGTCCGCCGTAAGCAAGCAAGCAAGTGTCCTTCTTCTTGGGGTGCCTATCCTATCGGATGTCGGTGACCACGACACGGAACTCTTCTCTATTCTGCGCCAGTCTGCAAAGACTGACGGCGTCTTTTATGTCTGTCCTTTTTTCAAATTGACACTCCATGTTATTTGTCTTCGTCATCTTTCCCGTTTTCCTTCTACTTTTACTTCAACGATATATAAGAGTGTCCACCAAGATAATCGACCGTCTGCCCCTCCTTTTCTCCAGGTGCTGGACAACTGCGTGAACGTGACCATATGCGACGGGAACGCCAAGGAGAAACCGCCGGACGAGGACACGCTGACCGCCGAAGATCTTCACGTCAACTCGCTGAAGCGCTGCCAAGCTTTCAACGCTATACAGGTAGTTTGCTTGTTCATTTACTATACTTAAATGTACTCAGTGTACCAATAAGGGACAAGCCTTGTAGGGAATGGCTTCAAATAAATGTAAATTCTTCTAGTATGCAGGCAGCCCACTGAGTCCTGAGTCTCAAGGAAAGCATTTACCACCCAGTGAACTTATAGCTTACAGAATTCCCTTGAGAAATTGATTTTAATTTTTTTTTATGTGATTTAATGTATTTTTTTTAATATTCCGTAAACTGCCTAAAATTCAATGGTTATTGTACACAGAAACATAAATTCACGATCGCGCACACATACAGGGAGGCTTTTCTAAGTGTATCCATTTTTTTATTAAATTCTAGACATAATTAATGCTATATAAAAATGATAAATATTTAAAATCACTCGTAAGTAATTAATTACATTCATTTGAACGTATCTCAAAATGTGCGTGATTTATACGCAACTCATTTATTTTACGCGCGATCATTCATAACTACACACGACACACAAGTTCGCGCACAATAAAATTTAGGTATTAATGAATGACTACCGCTTTGTCAACTGTTTTTTAGGGAATAAAATGGCATTTTTTTTTAAAGTTGGTTTTTTGTTTCAATAAACGATTATACTACCGAGTCTGAAGCTCCTGTGTAAATTTGGGCACTTCTCAAAAAAGCCTCAATGAACCACACTATAAAGCTGACTTATATCAGAATACCGTCTACTTGGTCCATTGCAGGAAGCTCGCAGCACCGAAGACCTGTACATAGACGACGACCTGTCCGCGCAGCTGCAGGAGAACTTCGGCGGGAAGGTGAAGCTGATTCCGCTCCACGGCTCCCTGCACGAGATCCTCTGCGAGAAGGAGGACGACTGCTGCCTCATCAAGGTCAAATTCAAATCCGAATATCTTTGTTCAACATAGAAGCATTACGGTTACTTATCGATCGATATACAAATAGGAGGTAGATATGACACTAGCGCATCGAAATCCAGGCGCTAAAATTACGCCAGTTGGTGTTATTACACTGCAATACACTGCTACCTACTGCTATTCCGTATCATACGTTTTATACTTAGTACGCACGCATGTGCACATGCGCGGCCCTGGCCACTGTGGAGGGCTTTAAATCCGTGGGCTCTGGCTAGCCCACCGGTTCTGCGTTCGATCAAGCTTTAATAATCTCTGGCCTGAAAGCGTTAACATCAGTTAATACAAAATACGTGTTATATCGCATGACACATTCAGTCGCATAATGTAAAGTAGAACAATTTTTAAACGTCGCGAAGTATCGGCATGCGCCAACTTCATTGAAACCGGTTCGGATAAAAACACTGAGAACCGACGAAAGGGGCTCGACGGGACAGTTCCTTTTTCTTTCCAACACAATTTAACAAAGAAAACAAACGAACAGGTGAAGCAGGAGAACGGCTGCGACACGATCTACTTCCGGTGCGACGGCGCCGAGCTGGAGTCGCGCGACGCGGTGGATGGAGCACGCGAGCGGTCGCGCGACACCGTCGTGTTCAAGCGCAGCATATCTCTGGTCGAGGAGCGCGTGCAGCGGGTGGCGCCCAAGCAGAAGGCCGCGCCCAGGCGCCGCCCCGAGTCCGAGGGCTTCCCGAGGATGCGCCAGGAGGCGCGCGCGCTCAGCGCCAGCAGCCCCTCGCTGGCGGGCCCCGCCGGCCCGGCCGACGTGGAGGTGAACATAGAGAGCGTGCTCTGCTACCAGGACTCCTCGTCGGACGAGTGCCTCGAGCGCCTCGAGCGCCTCGAAAGGCAGGACGACGAGTTCGAGCTGCTCGAGCGGCAGATCGAGGCGGGCCTCGCCTGCGCCGACCCGCCGCCGCTGGGCTGCGGCTGCCTGGAGAAGATATCGGAGGAGAACCTGTCGATCGTCAACGAGGAGGCCGACAGGAATTGACGCCCGTCGACTCACCATTGGGACGTCGAAAATATGTCGACATAAAGATGCGGAATGTTCAATATCGTAAACGATATTTTCTTCAAATTCGACAACGGCACAGAGTCAAAGAGTTTTGGACAAACAAAAACGAGAACGTTTATCCGACATATCGATGTTTCCTCTTCGATATATCGAGGCCGATATTGATATTTTTATATTGATATATTCTTCACTTTCGACATCCCCAGTAACATCAGTAGCGGCCCACTGAGACTCATATTAGCAGTTAATCAGCATTGAATACGTTAACATGCGATTTTCTTCCTTAAAGAATGACAAACACAACTCCACTCGGTATATATTAACGTAATTATTGCTAAATGACGTGTCCGGGTATGGCCTTTGAGATGTCTTGACGTGTTCTGTAGCAGAACGAGCAATTTTCGGCAGAGTCGTAGCTAACTTGTTGACCAAGTGGGGCGATGTATCTGATGAGAATAAATAAATCGTATGCTTGTGTGTTGGCGCGAAGGGTTGATGAAAATTATTTTTTTCTTCTTTTTTTGATTTATTTTCGTATAAAGATCGTTGGTGTCGAAGTACAAATTTTACGACGTAATTATTAGGTTACAAACAATTTTTGAATACGCTGTATGGTTAGTTACTTTTATTTCTGCTGTTCATTTTTTTTTATTTTTGTATTTCTCTTTTCTCGTAATCTATAGCCATAGTCATGATTCCGTCCAATGGCATTTAGAGAATCCAAAGATCTTAATATTTTGATTTCTATTTTAAATAACACACAATTATTTCATTTTTGTTTGTTTGTTTTAATTTATAAAATAGAGCAAGGCTCCGTGATTTCTAGATTAAGTAACACTGCATTCCACTGTTGTGATTTATAAGATAGTAAGATATTATATTTTTTACTGTTAGTTTTAATTTCGCACAATTTTATTTATTATGATTTTTTTCAAAACTTTGTATACCAGACGTCCATTGACTTTTGTCTTATCCGCACGATCACAACTAATTTGATCCTTAGATAACCCCTCTAATAAATCTTGCTTGGTAAAACATTAGTCTTTATGATGGTGCTGACTGTTTTTTTTTTTTTCTTTTAATTACTGTATTACTATTAGTTAATGCATGAACCAAAGCATTTTGTTCTAGAGAATAGTAAATAGAGATTCTTGGCTAATTGCATAATTTCATCATGAGAATTTTTTTATTGTTTCAAGTTCACAAACTGCGGTACCTTTATTGGATTGTTTAAGAACTTATCACTTCAATGCTGTTGTTTCAGGACAGTGTATTTGATTGTAAATAAACCTAATTGTTGATGAATACATATTCTACTTTTATCCGAGTTTTCTTTTCGTAAGCTAAAAAAAAAAGATTAAAAATATTTTAATCAAAAATAGTTCTTCAATGGGTGATTGCCTCTCGCGATCTTGGAATATGTTGTTCGAATGCCAAGAGGGGGGAAGGATTTTTCCGTTTTTATATCTTACGTAAAAGCTGCCCGATCACTATTGCTTCGAAAAATAGTTCTTAGTCCGTTATCTGTATGTCGAAGATTATAAAATAAACTTAAATAAACACAAAAAATTGGAATGTCTCAGAAGATTACCTTTTTTTAATCCAATTAGTTTTAAATAGGTCGTTATCATTTCAATATTAAATCAAATTTCAATAGGTCTTATTTTTATTCCGGTTCCACCTTATCTCAGTATACAAGGAACTCGATAAAAACTTGCTTTGTTAATGTATACATTTCTTTCGTCATGCACACACCCATTTTTCCTTTCCTGTTCGACATTAAATATCGTTCGAAACAAAACATTTTCGTTTTCGTTTAAATATTACGTAGTTGAATGACCGGTTCATGAATGTTAATCAAGACATTCAGCGGTCGTTGTTTGTTGTACTGTTTAAGAAAACAAATTTTACGTCATCGAATTAATAATTACGATTCGGCGATTTTGCCTATCGCACATACATTGTGTGTATTTTGTGTTTGCGCTCCAAATGCCGATGTAAATGAGATTTTGATTTGATATGCATGATTAACGGAATATTTAGCATCCGGCACAGACTGTTCCAGTGCAGGTACAGACTTTGAATGAACCCACTGCTATACTTAATTCAGCGACACCGTTTCGTTAACTATAGATACGTTTCAAAACAGTTGACGCAATGATCATAATATACGTTATGAGTTTATCGTACACAGCCAAACAGGGCCCGAGCGTAATTCGCTTTCAATATTTTAGTGTTCGGGCGACAGCTGAGAGAGCGCGCCGTGTTCTTGGTATAAAGGCGTTATCTACACGCGTTATATATAGCGCGATCATGTCCCAACAAGGGCCGGCTTTCGACGTCAACGCCATGACCCTCACAAGATGGGTCTTGGCGCAGCAAAGGACGGCGCCCGCGGCAACGGGCGATTTGACGTATCTATTGAACTCCATACAAACGGCCGTCAAGGCCATTCAGTCGGCCGTTAGGAAAGCGGGTATCGCTAAACTGTAAGTACCGTCACGCCAAGGTAATAGCAATGTCTATCAACATATGACTATATACAAATGAGTTTTTGTAATTAGTTTTCTTTATATATTAATCGATATGTAGCATGTATGGCTAAGTCAATAAGGGTTGTGTGGAGAAAATTGCATGGACGAAATTTTTTTATACGTATTTTAAGTCACAGAAACACCATTCACCAGTAATGGAGAAAATAAAATATGTGACAATGGCGGACATGGTCTACTATTGAACCAGTTGGGTCAGTAGGTCAGAACGTTTCTTGTGTCTTTTCACAGTTTGTCTCTATATCGGTTAAATTGTATTAGAGCCAAACAGTATTTACTGTTGCACAAATGAGCAAGTCCGTCCTGGAAAGTACCACGACCACGCAGAAGACCGGCGTGAACTGGTAGTGGAAATGTTACATTTCTACGTTTGGTCTGGTGAGTGAGGTAGCCGGGGCCCACTTTATTAATAGGTTGCAATGAATCCGCAAATCTACGGGTGTTGCAAATATCAATGGGTGGCGGTTATCACTTAATAACCGGTGAACTGCGTGTCGCTCACTAAAAAAATACATTAATTGAATATAATATTATAGTATTGATACCGATTGAAGTTCATACAGAGGTAGGTATTTTTCCGTTGCTATACGAAACGCTCTAATTGGTTCCACATGTCTTGTTAAGGCATGGAATATCGGGCGACACGAATGTCCAAGGCGAGCAAGTGAAGAAGCTGGACGTGCTATCCAACGACCTGTTCATAAATGTACTGAAGTCCTCCTTCACCACTTGCCTCTTGGTGTCAGAAGAAAATGATTCTGTCATTCAGGTAAAAATAGATTTTTACATGTACATTGTACAATACGAGTAGAAAACCACACTATAATATTAATTCAATGTATTATGCGTTCGTATATATGTCGTATTTAATATAAATCGTTTTATCTGTACCTACCTCAATTTCTCTACAAACCCCTAAGGTTGACTGGTAGAAAATTCCATTGGTATCAATGATGTTAAAAAATAATGTATATAATGTCATTGATTGGTATTAAGTACGCCTTTGTCTAGTCTAAACTAGACATTAAGTTGAAATAAATAAAAAAAAAACAAATAAATTTTATATTAAAAAAGAGCAACTGTTGAGTTTCTTGGCGGTTTCTTCTCAACAGAACCTGCTTTCCGAACCGGTGGTAACCCGTAACTTACAAACGTATTAATTTTTATATAAAATTTGGACGCTTCATAAGAACGCGCAAGTGTCTATGCGAATAAAGATATTTTGAATTTTATGAATATTAAATTATTGAATATTGTTATGTTCGCTCCTGACTGTTCGGTGACCTGGTGGCGCCGTTACTAATCAGTGAAAGTTGCGGGTTCGATTCCCACACGGGACAAATTCAGTAGTAGAAATTATGGTCAGGGTGTTTTTATTTATTTGATTTCTTAATCACCAAATAAATACGCATCGATGAATATTTTATCCCTTATATGTTGAGTTCGTATCAATGATTTCGATTGGAACAATAATAACATATTTACGGTCAAATGTCAACTAATTTATCAGCAGCAGCAGCAGTGTTTAAAATAATTTGTAAGAAAAACTTATTGTTTGCTAAGAGGTTCATATTGTGTACTCTATGTGCCAAGTATGTAGATAACAGTAAAATTATGGTGGAATTATCGCATCCTTATCTGGAATAATTAAGTTGATCTTGAAAAAACATAATGTTTGTCTTGAAGTCACCTTTGTGCTGCAACCTAACGTACTTTGGCTTGTTATCTGTTTGTATTAAGAAAGTTAAATATTTAATAACTATGACAACAAGTCATTTGTGACAATAAATGTTATTTGTAGATAAATGAATTTGTTTCAAAAGCCTGCACTTTTTATAAATTGGTCGTCAATCGTTTTAATTGTCCGTAGTTAATTAAGGAACTATATAATTCGCTTTTTTTCATCAATCATTTGATACATGGGCAGCGGTAACCACAATGCCAGGTGAACCGCCTGCTCGCTCATTAACGCGAAAGTTTGTATGTATGGATGGATGTTTGTTACTCTTTCACGGAAATACTACTGAATGGATTCTAATGAAACTTAACAATAATATAGCTTATACATCAGAATAAGACATAGGCTATAATTTATATACATCTTTTTATGTATTTCTATGTCTTTCTGTCTGAATGTTGCGCTTTCAGCCTATTCTACGCAGACGTAGTCGTGGGCAGCAGCTAGTATCACATGAAATACGAAAGCACGTTCACTTTCAAATTCGAAAAAATCAAGTATCAGTGATGCGTTATTCAAAAATCAGTGACTTAACTGTGGTATATAATTCACATTCTATAAATGTGTAATGTGAATTGCTAATTTGGTAGGCCGTAGGGCCACGCAACAGTATTCACTTTTGCACGAATGGGCAGGTTCGTCCGGGTTAGTACCACGACTTCGCAGAAGACCGGTGTAAAGTAGAAGTGTTACACTTCTGCGTTTCGTCTGGTGAGGTAGCCAGGACCCACCTTATTAAAAGGTGGCAACACATCTGCCACCGTTGTTGCAAATGCCCATAGGCGGCGGTTATCACTTGACATCAGGTGAACCGTCACTCGTTTGCCACTTTTTCTCATAAAAAAAGACCATGAGTGAAGTGTACCTAGCCTACCGGTAGCTCAAAAAGAAACAAAATATTTTGAATAGACTATATTTTTTTTTATTTTAAAGTCAATCCAATTTTTGAAAATTGTCATTTGACTTTAAGAAATATTTTTGTTATTTTACAGGTAGAGACTGAAAAGCGTGGAAAGTACGTAGTGTGTTTCGATCCCTTGGACGGTTCCTCCAATATTGACTGTCTTGTCTCAGTTGGTTCCATCTTCTCCATTTACAAGTAAGCTATTTATTCTTTTAATACTAATAAAATAATGAATACAGTTACTTTGCCAAGTGCGAGTCGGACTCGCGCACGAATGGTTTCGTACCATTATCTAATATTTTTTTATTCTGTTTTTTAGTATTTTTTGTTATGGCGGGAGCAGAAATACGTCATCTGTGAATATTTTCAACTGTCTACCAATCACGATTTATGACATACAGCCTGGTGACAGAGGGACGGTCAGATAGACAGACAAACAGACAGACAGCGAAGTCTTAATAACAGGGTCCCGTTTTACCGTTTGGGTACGGAACCTCAAAAACACTGCCCTTACTGTAGGATAACATTATCCTGTGCTTTAAGGACGTTTTACATACATAAATTTCACGTGGACAATCACCCAGATCCGAAATAATCTGTGGATCGCACAAATAGTTCTCTCGTGGGAATCGAACCCGGGATCCCCGACGCCGAAGCCAACACTTTAGAAACTGTGCCACGGAGTCATTGATGGTGCATAAATAGTTACAACTTTATACATTTATTTGTAACATAGTTCATCTTTTAACAGAGTTTTGTTAATTGTTTTTGACATCTTTCTGTGCACCTAGCTAATCTTATCTATACCACCCCAAGGTTGACTGGGAGATAATGGCTTGGGATTAAGTCCGCCCCTGTACAGTTTGTGCATAAAGTATAAATCAATAAATAAATAAACCTCATATGTAAAACACGTTTGTCGTGCGGCCCTACCCACAACGGGGGGCTCAAACCCGTGGGTTCTGGCTAGCCCGCCGGTTCTGCGTCAGATGAAGCTTTAATAGTCTCGGGACTGAAAGCAAAAACATCAGTTAATATAAGACAAGACGTTTGTCGTGTCCAGAAAAACTTCGGATGGCGAACCGACGGAAGCAGACGCACTCCGACCTGGAAGGGAGCTGGTCGCAGCTGGCTACGCCCTATACGGCTCCGCCACCATGATGGTGCTGGCCCTCGGGAGAGGGAAGGGCGTGAACGGCTTCATGTACGACCCCTCCATAGGGGAGTTCATCCTGACGGACCCCAACATGCGTGTCCCCGAGAAGGGGAGTATCTACTCTATTAACGAAGGTACGCTGGTTTAAATCGATGACGTGTCATAGGAACTATTGCTCTTCACGTAACGGATGCTGTTGCATAAATTGGTCGGTTTACCCGGGAGGATGCGCTAGCCTCACAGAAGACAAAACTCGATAGCTGTTAAGGATATCCAAGGATTACGTAATCATTTACCTACAGTCCCTCAGCTAGCTTGTCTTTTTCATAAACTAGAAAACTTGTAAAACTATGTAAAATTTTTTCGTTTCCTTTTAATACTTAGATAATAATGAATATAACATATTGAACAAAAACCGTGTCTGCAAAAACAGCTACCGAGCAAGCCTAGTTCCAAACAAAAATTGTAAATTACTGGTAATCATTCCCGTTATTTATCTTTTCCGATGTTTTTTTTTTTCGTTTCGAAGGTAATTTTTTTATATAGACTTGGCTACAACATTGTTATTTTTTTATTTACGTAAGAAGATGGCAAACGTATTGGCAGTTAAGTCATAACTGTACTACAGCATAGCTTTGTTACGTCGATATAATCTGTTAGTTTGTTCCAATTATAATCATATTATACGTGAAACCCCATTATTCAATACCCATAACCGTGTCCATGAAAATGTACGGTACGGTTATCGTTAGCAGGAACTTTACAAGTCGTTTATTTGTTTGATTCTCATCAGGTTATGCGGCGGAATGGGACAGCGGACTGAAAAGCTACATCGAGGCAAAAAAACTACCAAAGACGGGCAAACCGTACGGAGCTCGGTATGTGGGGTCGATGGTGGCTGACGTGCACAGAACTATAAAATATGGCGGCATTTTCATGTACCCGGCTATGAAATCGGCGCCTAATGGAAAAGTAAGTAAAATAACCTTTATAGCTCCTCAGTCCGTATAATATATCAGAAGCGCGGGATTGATGACAGTGTTACGAAACTAACAGTTTTATTCTTATGGAAACTTATTATTAAGTTATCTGAGGTCGCGCTCGCTAAAAATAGATTGACAAAAAGTTTATTTATAATCGTTCCATAACACTAAAACGTTCATTAACTCTCCGATAAAGTGTCTTTGATATAAACAGCCTAGGAACCTACTATAAACCTTCGATAAACTAATATTAGCTTCATAAATATAATGGACCTAATGAAGCTAATAGTCCATTATATTTATGAAGAAATAAAATTAAAAAATTAATAATAATAAAAAAAAAAATAAGTATGAACCCACTGCTGCACCGCTACCAGCCCGGTTGATGTACGCGGCGGTAACAGACCAAAAAGAAAATAAAAAAAAAAAACATGTTAATCAAAAATAGTACGGACCACGAGTCTGTAGTTACTTTGTTAAAATAAAATAAAAAAACTAGTATTAGCAAAAAACATGGCCGCTTTTGGTCAGCTGATGCAGCTCACGTTTACAATGACTTCTTTCCAATCATTTCACGCCGTCACCTTTGTTGCATTGGACACGATAAGTGTTTGCATAAATACCATGTAACGTTAAGATAATTCACATTTAGTTTTTAAATTGTGAGACCAGTAAAATTATGGGCGAAAATATTAACCACATTAGAGCTACACCAAACCTAACTAAAGAAGAATTTTTGAAATTGGTTCAGAAATGACGGAGTTGTGTGATAACAAACATAAAAAAATACAACCGAATTGCGAACCTCCTTTTTTGAAGTCGGTTGAAAAATACTATAAACCTAGTTTTTTTCTATATGTTATAACTCGGGCAGATCAAAGGAAGGAAGGAATTTCACATGAAGTTCTCTCATCTACTATTTATACTTTCAGCTCCGTCTCCTGTACGAATGCAATCCGATGTCATTCATAGTGACGGAAGCCGGGGGCCTCGCCACGAACGGCGAGATTCCAATCCTGGACATTCAGCCGACGTCGATACACGGACGAGCGCCTTGCTATTTGGGTTCGAAGAAAGACGTCGAAGAACTCCTGCAATACCTCGCCGCGTAGATCATGCGCAAAAATAATGCCTGGTCTAGTATAAATTAAAAAAAAAATGTTTTTTGTACAATTGTTATATGAAAAATACAAATATATTTTTTTCTTCAATATGTTGGTGCACCTACCTCAACTTCTCGGTACCACCCTAAGGGTGACTGGCAGAAAATGCTATCAGCATATGTATTGTTTTTTGTGCATAAGTTTAAAAATAAAATATATTTCTCAGTTACTTCGGATTACGTATAAACATTTTTGACGTTTTCTTACTTCCTCGTTAAAGTTAAGTATGTTAATGTTTGTTTTTTTTAGTTTAAAATGGACCCCTTTGCATAGCGGCCTTAACCATGTCCTAAAACTAGATATTTAATGTTTTAGCGAACCAAAGAAAGTAAAGTATTTAATGTGTTAGTTACTGCTGCTGATTTTTGTGTATTTAGCAACCAAAACTGTTTTTTTTCATATTCTATATACGCGAACTGTATATCCGTTATATAATGTAAAATAAGGAGACACTACAAATTGTAAATTTTTGTAGATAAATGAACAAACACTGCTGCGGGATTCGAACCTGCGTCTTCTGGTTTCGCGCCCAGACGTTTTACCAACTAAGCTAAGCGGCCGAGACGTAACGGCGCGAAAATCTTGACTATTGCATTTGACTTGACTTTTCTATTGCATTTTTAGCAATGCTTGGCGTGATCTAGTGTGCTATTTTAGTTCATTTATCTACAAATTATTACAATTTAATTTTTGATTTTGAGTACACACTAAAAAAAAATCAGGAGACACTATTAAATAAAAGCTATAAAATCCATACTTAACCAATTTATTTAAGTATATTTTAAATTACTTATATTTATAAATAACATTTCTCACCCGCGCGTGAATATATCTGTACATCGTATAATAAGACACTGTGGCTTGTAATTTCATAAAATGTCCATTTTCCGTTCCTACTCCACTTGATCTATATCATCATTAATCTTCATCTGTTATTATTTCTGATATAACAATATAATATTATTGTGTTAAAAACTTGAAATGGGGTGGACAGAGACAATTAAGTTTGACTCTAGCAGGATAATTTTTCGAGACGTAAATTAATACCTGAATCCACCGAATGTGGTCCGGTCTTAAAAGTATTGCGAAAAAAAAACTAGTGCTAATAAATCAGTCGCAATGAAGAAAGTATGCAGAAATAATTATTTTGTCACACTTTAACTTTAATTACACGTGTACTGGCGTTATATAAAACTCGAGAACATTCCCTAATACAACATGTTTTGTCCGTCTACGCTGTGAGGGCTACAAACTGATGGAACACGTCAAGAATGTGAGGGTCCAGGTCTTGAGTGAAAAGCAGCGTCTCCAGCGTGCTGCTGTACTTCTGCACTTGCTCGTGGTGCTGGAAAGTGACAAAAACTATTTTTTAATGACTGAACAATATTGAATATTTCTAGCTCTAGCATAAGTCTACGACATCGGCGAAATTGGCTGGAAGGATCGAATCCAGATCCAGAAACTGAAGGAGATAGTTCAGTAAAGACGCCAACGGAGTCGATTCTTGCTCACGAAGGAAACTGATCTAATTCCTCAAATCGGCTTATCTACTATTAACCTAGCTTACTATTAACGCAAGTAGCAATTCTCACAATTCACAATTTTATTTATTTATTTTTATTTTATGCGAAAAGTTGTCAAACGAGCAGACGGTTCACCTGATGTTAAGTGAAAACCGACGCCCATGGACATCTGCCACACCCGAGGGTTACAGATGCGTTGATAACCTTTTGAAACACAAACTGTTGATTGCATCGAAAAAAATATTGTGCGCTTACGACGCAATCTGCTACCACTATTAATTTTGGCGTAAATTCAATGCACCCCAAGTGAATCGGCGAAATTGTCTCTCCAGTAGGCCAAAGCGAGTTGGCAGATACGGAGAAAGCAGTAGGTACACTGTGTGCGGTTGAGCAATAGCATTCCGTGGCAGGGCCACGCAACAGCTTCTGCCGTTGCACGAAGTACCACGGCCTCACAGAAAACCGGCGCGAAGTTTAAGAGTTATACTTCTGCGTTTAGTCCAGTCAGTGAGGTAGCCGGTGTCCATTTTATTAAAAGACGGCAACGCATCTGCGACCCTGCGGGCGTTGCAAATGTCAATGGGCGGCGGTTATCCTTTAACATCAGGGGAACCGCTGGCTCGTTTGCCACCTTCTCAAAAAATATCCTTAATGGCCGGCAAAGTAATTACTGTGACTCATTAGATGTTGCAAGTGTCCATGGGCGGTGGATGGTCCCGGACGGACCTGCCCATTCGTGTGACAGCGAAGATCGTTGCGTGGCCCTTACCACTGTTAAAGGCTCTCTTCCTGAAGTTCCCTCGAGACGTCCGAGTCGAGTTCGAGATTTGTAAGGCTAAAGGATTGGGCTCTCTTCCCGAAAGTCAGCGAGTCGTCGAGTCAGTCAGAGCAGGAAGGTTAACGAGTCGCGTCGAGTCGGAGCGAGGCGAGGGTGCACCCACCACGAGGAAGACCTGGCGCAGCCTGGCCACGGTGCTGCGGTACCAGTGCGTGTCGGGGTCGCGCGCGTCGGTGTCGCAGCGCACCAGGTGCTCCGACAGGATCATGATGAAGCGCTGGAACACGATCAGGAACAGCCGCTTCTGGTCCGTGTGCGCCATCTCCAGCCGCTCCTCCATGCGCTCCACCGCCTGGGGGCGTTCGAGGTCAATTTTAAAAACCGCTCACTCGTTGCGCGAACACGAAAAATCGTGTACACTCAAGCTGAATAAAGAAATGTGCAGTGAGTGTGTTCACCTCTTCTGTGGGTTTGTCTTGGTCTTTCTTCTTCTTCGCCCCGCTCTCGTCTTCTGAGTCGGAGCTGCTGGAATCGGCTCTAGCCAACGCCTCCCTAGCCTCTTGGAGCTCGGCACCTAAAGTTGCAGTCTCAATATTACCTTTTTGCTGAAGTAGGGTATTAAAGCGTACTAGTTTAAAAACGACTTCGTCTTCGTTACGCGATACACGGATGATAATAATAAATATTTCATTTTATTTATAGGCATGTTTATTTTATTTATAAACCGGATCGGATGACAACAAAACTTAATTTTTTTTTACAGTTGTAATTTCATATATGTATACACCGAATGAGATAAAATTTACTTATGGGTTAAAGCGTCTGGGTGCGAATGGAAGACGTGGGTTCGATTCCCGCAAAGACTTACTACTTTTTCTACAAATTTTAATGTTTCATCCTTAAGCGCGTTAACACTATAAAAAAAAAAATTATTTCATACTCACTGAGTTTGGACACGTGTTTGTTCATCTTGTCTATGGTCAGATGCAATATCTCCCACAGGTGAGAGTGGGTGAAAAACGGCGCCATATCCTTGGAAAAGAGCCAGGTGGCCACCGCGCTGCACTCCACCACTTGGGTCTTTAGCATCTTGTCCACCAGAACGCACACCATTTGCGGGTGCCGCTGCCACAGCTCCCAAACGTTGCGGAGCACGCATATCTGGGCCTCTTCCGACTCGGCCAAGATCTATAATAGAACATCCGTTGTTAATGTTTAATCTTAGGTGCAGAAATTAGCACTATAAAAATTTTAAATTTCTTAAAAACATCCGTTATCGGATAAAAGTCCACAGTTTTTTTTTTATGTGATAAAGTGGCAAACGAGCTGGCGGTTCACCTGAAGTTAAGTGATAACCGCTGCCCATGGACGTTTGCAACACCCGTAGAGTTGCAGATGCGCTGCCACCTTTAAATAAAGTGGGCTCCGGCTACCCCACTCACCAGACGAAACGCAGAAGTGTAACACTTCTACTTTACGCCGGTCATCTGCGAGGTCGTGGTACTTACCCGAACGGACCTGCCCATTCGTGCAACAGCGAAAACTGTTGCGTGGCCCCACCACAGTTGACTTATCCGGACGGACCTGCCCGTCCGTGCAACAGTGACAACTGTTGCGTGGCCCTGCCACAGTTAAAATACCACACCGCAGTTAAACTTTAGCACGAGGCTTGTCGGTAGATCATTGAGCAATCTACGCTCACCTTGAACACGTAGTGGAACTTGGATATGGCCGCGAAGCTGTGCGAGATGCTCTTGCTGCCGAGGTTGAGGAGCGTCTGGACGAACACGTCGATCTTGAGCGGGTTGTACTGCGCGTTGTGGGTGGCCGGGGCGTCCCCTTCGCGCAGCGGGTTGGGCAGCTCGCGGAGCACGTTGAGCGCTTCCTCGGGGGTGCATTTGTTGCGGACGCACACCACCAGCCGGTGCGCCGCCTCGGTGCCGGGCAGCGACGCTGCGTGTTCGATGTTGTATGTACTTCTTTTGGCACGAGGGAATTTTTACGATGCGCGATATCGACTCAGTGGTCTTTTTGGCATCGCTATAAAGTATAAAACAAAGTCGTCCCGCTGTCTGTCCCTATGTACGCTTAGATCTTTAAAACTATGCAACAGATCTTGATGCGGTTTTTTACTAGATAGAAATGATTCAAGAGGAAGGTTTATATATATAATAACAATGCACCCGTGCGAAGCCAGGGCGGGTCGCTAGTTTACATGTAAATGCAAGTTATTTATTTAGACCGTTATCAATTGCATTCAATGTCTTTTAACACAAACAAAGAGTACTGGAGCACGGGATAAAATTTTTCGTACGCTACAGTGGTACTTCTTACGCGCGTACATAATTACACACACACTTTTTTATTTTATATTTTGCGTGGAAGGGGTTGGATAGTAAATCCCAAAGACCACTTCGCCCTGGAAGATCCATTGTAGTCTTCCCTTCGAAAGCATTGCCCCTTACTGTAGGATAACAAAATTATCCTGTGTCACAAAGACGTTTTACAAACATAAATTTCACAAAGGCGAACACCCAGAGCCGAAACGATCATCTGCGGATCACACAAATAGTTGTCTCGTGTGGAATCGAACCCACGACTACCGGCGCCTAAGCCAATACCTTGGCAAGAGTGCACTGGAGTCGTCAACATAACAGATACAGGCCACATTAAGAAGCAAGAGGCGGTGTGTTTGTGCAACGCACACCGACAGATGGCGCGATACGATCGCTCTACGTATTACACGAGGCGATGCGGCTTGACATTGTTCTACCTACAATCGCAAGAGCCACATGTGACATGTGTGACGTCACTAGTGCCGTGAGCCGCTCTACTTTTTCCGGTGAGGAGAAGCAAACTAGCTCGCGTTATCTGATCCGAATTGATTGCCGTCGCACGTGGCTATCAAAACAACCAGCGCCCATTGCGTGGCAGTCGCTCAATCACCAGAAAAAGTACAATACGATTATCCCATGTTGGTATTTTGTGACGCATTCCTTTTTCGCAACGGCAGAAGCTGGTGCGAGAAGAAACAACCTTCGATCGCAATTGATCATAGCTACTAGTAGCTTGATGTGAAATTGTTCTCTTTTACAAATGTTTATATTAGAGCCGGTTTTTTTTTAATATTCTGTATTCGTTAATAGTGTATTCGTTCAATTATCGCCAATTTCCAATATATCAATAGTAAAACGAAACGCCATTTATTTTTTTTTAATCTCGAAATAAATATTTATAAACACACATAATTGTCAATAATCATTACATACTACAAAATTAAAATAGGTAAATTATTAATACTTATTTTTCATCGTATAATTTTTTTAGGAGTTTATCACTATTTTACAAGAGTTGTTAGTATTTTAATCTTGTTGACCAGTTATAGATTAAAAGTTATGTAGATGGCCTTTGAAATCGGCATCGTGAAAGAGAACATGAGAAAAGTATCAAACTATCTTTCATAAGGCCTCGTTAAATAATATAAAGTTATAAAAAACAACCCTATAAAGTTATAAAAATTATTAGAAACTGATTAGCGCTTTCCTTCTATCGCAGTAAAGATTTATTATTTTAAACGAAGGCATGATAATGATCATTATAAGCCTTCGAATGTCTTTTACTTACTAAGATAAATAAAGAAATACGTTTTATTTAATATTACTTACTTGTGAACGGAACATATTCGAATAAAGTAATAATTTTGAGAACGTAAAATGAATAAGTGCGATTTTGACCGCGTGCTTCACGCCTTCAGAGTTTGTAATAGGAGCGGAATGAGAATAAGGCTCTAAAAACACGAATAAATTTAAACACACACACACGCGCACGCACGCACGCACGCACGCACGAATTTTTGTAGTTGCAAGTGCTAAAAATCTAGTAATGTCGTGTAAGGAGGTTTCACTGTGGTAGTGCCACGCAGCATTGCACAGATGGGCAGGTCTGTCCGGGGAAGTACCACGACCTCACAGAAGGCGTGAAGTGAGAGTGTTACACATCTACATTTCGTCTGGCGAGTGAGGCAAGCGAAAACTTTATTGAAAGGTGGCAACGCCTCTGCAACCCAACGTGGGTGTTGCAAATGAGCGGCAGTTATCACTTAACATCAGGTGAACCGCCATCTCGTTTGCCACCTTCCCTCATAAAAAATAGTATGCGAGCCGCCTTAGAGGAGATGTTCGCAGCGATAGCTGCAGTGGAACAATACCGCGGACTGGATTGCGCAAAGCGCAGTGAGCCGTTTCATATCGACGCATTATTTTCGCGGGCATGGGAGCACGCCGAGGCGTTTCATTAGAGTCAAAGGGCAATTAAGAGTTGGGTAATATCGCGTGAGAAGCGATGGTTTACGTGGTGAATGAGATTCGAATCCTGGTGGGCACTATCTTGCTGTTCATGCATTGTTGGGATTTGAAGCAGGTCATATATTTGGCAGTCATATATTTGGCAGTCATTGACTCATTATAACATTACATTTAGGAGAGTTCGAAGTAGGCTTCGTGGGTGGACATTAAGGACAATGGACAGACCAGATTGAGTCAAAGTTCGCTTACATGGATGCATCAGAGTGTCCGCAAGCAGAGACTAACTACTGAGTACTATAAAATTAAACTTACAATTAGAACTATATATTATACTAAGTACTGTATTTGCGGCACAAGATGTCCACACTTCTGCTGTATCAAGTATATAATCAAATGCATAAATAACTTTCGCATTTTCTGGTCCACTATTTCAAAGTTAGACAACATGACTGTAACCCACAGCTGTTCGGTATTTGCTCATAATCAGGTGAACCAAACAAAAGTAATAAACTGTAACGATATTTAAGACACACGATAGACACGAGAACTATCAAAACACGTTGTTAAAGTATCTCGTCAAGTAATGAGTAGAAGAAATTTGCACATCTATACAGTAACTACTACTAAAACACACTTCTCGCACATACGGCGGCATTGCAAGATATAAATAAATAAAGTAAGCATGCATCTGTACCTAAGAAAGAAAGCGAGCGAGCAAACTGCCGAACTGCTGATGCGTTGAAAATCTCCGGCTCGCAAGTTGCGCACAGTTAACGTATCTCGTTGCGAGTTTTCAGGCGCTTGCCGACCGTTTCCTTTGGTTAAATTTGAAGTAATTTCACCCAATGATATTATATACAAATACGAGATAGATATGACACTAACGCCCGAAACCGAGGCACTCAAATTACGAAAATGGGTGTAGTTAGATATCAATTCTATAGACATATAGAATACACTTTGAGATATATCTCGTTCCGTATCATACGTTCTATACCATCTGTCACATTCACTTATATATGTCGTCTACAAAACATTAATTTCACTCCTCGAGGCATGCGAAGATCTGAATGATCTTATTGAAGGGAAACAACTATTACGGATGTTGAGACACGTTCGATCCGCGATAGAGGATGTGTGCATAATAGTTTCTCAGATCGAGTTGAGAGTTCTTATTGAACTCCTATTAGTAGAAACATACCCATTTTTCCGTGAGTTAGATTATTTTGAAATATTTTGTCCAATTAAGTCTTGTTCCAAGATCCGTTCTACCTGACTTCAAATCCAGCACGGGTTCACAAACATACAGTTGTCCAGATTTTAGTTGCCTTATTGAAATAAAATTCATATTACTCTACAGAGTAATATGAATTTTATTTCATTATGTAATTTTTATAGGATACAATCCCAAAATAGCCTCGAATATCCTATATATTGGAAGCTGTCAAACTACTAAATGCATAGGTACATACGAATTTCCGCCTATGTGGAGGTGTAGGGTGCAAAAACGGCGAAGAGCCCGAGATGGAGTGAACACACGCAAGAGTTTTCACTCGCCAATGCCCTCGCGTGCCCAGCCTTTCAGTGGACACGTTTCACTTTCAGACTGATGCATACTAACCGCCAGCTAATGAATGCAAACACGGACAATATGCTGTCGGCACCAGAGATTCTTGCGCGTAGTGGCTTTACTGTGCGGTATAATTACGCGGCCGATTTTATTTGGCAACCTGCACTCAGAAATAAAAACGTGTGGTAACCTGTCATTAAAATTTTTTTTCTTTAAGCGAGCGATATGTTAAGTATTTTTATCGTCGCCCGTGAACTTGAAAAAAATTAAACACATTTATTTATTTTCCATGTTCTACAACAATAAGGAAAAAATTTAAAGGAATGAATAGGCTTTTCCGTTGAAGGTCCCGAGTCCTAGGCCGGGAACATCACCGATGACAATTTAGTCCACGACAAGCAGTGCAGATTTTTAGAAAAACACACGGTAATGGGCTGCCTAACATTAAGATGGAGTATGGTATTCGGTTAGTCGCGTTGTACGGTGTAGGCAGAAACGTCGGGAGCTGTGGTAGGGCCACGCGACAGTCTTCGTTATTGCACGAATGGGCAGGTCCGTCCGGGGTTGTATCACGACCTCACAAATAACCGGCGTGAAGAGGAAGAATTATGCTTCTACGTTTCGTCTGCTGAATGAGGCAGCCAGGGCTCACTTGATTAAAAGGTGGCAACGCATCTGCAACCCTAAGGGGGTTGAAAATGTCCATGGGCGGCGGCATCCCTTAACATCAGGTGTACTACCAACGCGCTTGCCATCTTCTAATATATAAAAAGAACATCAACTCATATCAGCTCTGATTGCTACAGAAACTCCATAGAATCGTAGTCTCCATGAGCTAGACGTCAATTGGAGTTTCGTTACAAGCTATGCACCCGTAAGATAAGCCGCAATCAAAGTTGCAATATATCCCGCGGTGCGTACGCCATGGGGTACGGTAATAGGTGGCAGATAAAATCTCGGATGTTGCGAAACTGCATTAGCTTTGGCGTTGTACACAATCGCCTGTCGAGACGCTAAGTGCGCCGAGTAATGGTTTCTGCCGCGCGCGAGCTCACTTCATTCAACTTGAGTGATAGACAGAGTGATAGGTCAAAGTAAACGGTCATTTACAAATTCACACTTGCCACTCTGTATTTGGTAACTGAGAGAAATTAAGAAGGTAATTCACCGCACTCGTTTAATTGCTTAATCAATATGCCTATTCAAAAATTACTATTCTATTTAAGTGAATTATTAAGTGAATAATTTGATGATAGCTCCAAGAGATTTCAACATTACAGATTGTGAAAGCCGATGTAATAATAATTTGTTTCAGATTCCAATAAAGCTAGTGGCGTTTAGGACAGGGCGTCCGAATGTTATATGTTTACGAAGTCTCTTTACAGACGATACTTGACGACCAAACTCCGTGGCGCAGTTGGAATTTCGCTTCGGCGTCGGTGGTTGGGGGCTCGCTTCCCACACGGGAAAACTATTTGTGTGATCCACAGTAATTGTTTCCGATCTGGGTGTTTCTTCCCGTGAAATTTATTTATTTTAAACGCCTTAAGAACACAGGATAATCAAATAATACAGCCTTACTCTAAACAATGCAAACAAAGAAACCCTAGATTGTGTCATGTGTAAGGGGTCGTATCGCTCTCCTAGATAATCAATCTCAAGCACTTCAGGAGGTAAGATATCTTTGCAAACCTCCCCCCCCCCCCCCCCCCCCCCCCCCCCCCCCCCCCCCCCCCCCTTGATACCCACAGTCATCCCTTGTCCAAATATCTAATAGCGTCATCACTTTCCCACAGACAGGTCAATACACGCAGGCTGTGCCGTTACCGTCGCGCGTTGTGCCAAGAGCAAGAGTAAATAAAAAAAACCCTAGATTGTGTCATATATGTAAGAGGTCGTGTCGCTCTCTTAGATAGTCAGTCCCATGCGCTTAAGGAGGTAGGATATAATCAAGGCCCACCCCTCAACACACCAGAGGAGCATCTCGGATCATCCCTTGTCCGAATATCTAATAGCGTCATCACTTTCCCACAGACAGGTCAATACACGCGGGCTGTGCCGTTACCGTCGCGCGGTGTGCCTAGAGGGGTGGCTCGAAGGCCCGACTCTCCACGCCAGTCCTAGTCGCTACTGGTCGCGGTCCGCGCGTCACGCGTCGTCTGGGTGCGAATATACGCTTCGTATGCAACGCGCGGTTTCTACTGAGCAATATGCCGCCGTCGCTTCAAAGCCTCCTTATAACGCTATACGTGAGTAGAACACGCTTTAAACGCTTTTTACTGATGAGGATACCCTTCAATTGGAGATAGTACGTGTCCGGGAGAAAACTTTTAGTCCAATACCGAGCAACCAGAGTTGAAATCGCGGTACCAATGAAATTGTTAGTTGCAATTTTAAATTCTGACTTCCGTGTTATTATTATATCTTAAGCGTTAAAAGAAAACAAAGTGAGGAAACTTGCATACTTCAGGAATATAAAATAAATATTACTAAGAATTGTGAAGTCCGTCAAACCGTGTTGGGGTCGCGTGGTGGACTATCTGTATGTATATATATATATATTTCATTGAGGATCTCTTTAATTATATTTTTTTTATAAATCTCATTACTTTATCAACTATATATTTAGATCCCGTCTCATCGAGCCCGTGTTTAATGCTACGCTTACACTTCTGTTTTATTTATTGGCCAGGATTTTTAACTTTAGAATTTTCATTTAAGTACGGAAAACGAGTTTATAAAAATAAAAACAATTAAAAAATATAAAACTGAATTGGACTGAATTGGAAAACGATGTCATTAATTTTACTCGTTTAACCTGATTAATCTTTCTGTTGAATAAACTTCGCAGATATTATTCTAATTAACTTTTAGGATAAGCCATTTATTAACATACGTGTCTTAATAACAGTTTTATTTTCTTTTTTTACGTGTATTACAAATCATTGCTTATTAAAATATTGCAAATACTGTATCAAAAACTGTTCGCCTACGTTTCAAATACTTTTCGGCGTTTATGGAATTAAAATTAAAAATAGACGTTATAAATCCGTGCATAGTTTCATTTAGTAATGTGTAGTGTGCGGGTAAATATAAGAAATTCTCACGTCACATTACAGATAAGCTAATAGTTTATTTTTTTTGTACTTAAAATTGACATTAAAGGAAAGTATCTAGATTTTTCATTGGAACATGTACTTATAAAAACTTCACAAAGACATCTCTTAAAAAAATTAGTTTGTCCAAAGATTTTTTGGATATTGTTTCAATGAGCGTATCACATTTATGTTTCAAGGGTCTATCACGTGTTCGTTTCAAATATTGACAAATACTAAACTTAAACCAGATAAAAATGTACTAGAGTCGATTCGGGTTTAAGCCGACTTGACCCACAATTCAAATGACATATGCCCCTGTAAGCATAAACCTGACATTAAACGCGGTTACATAAAAAGAATGCTTTAGAGACAACGGCCTCGCCGCATTGTTGGGAGTGGGATTTTCCCAAGCATGTGGGGCGATGAAACCAGTATACGAGTGTGATAACGACACAATTAAAAGCCTCCGAAAATTGATAACGCAAAATTGTAATTTCTTACGACCAACTTGTAATTTCTTTGAAAAACACGAACAGTATGAATTGGTAAATGAAACTGTTTTAACGGAATTTTGTTGCGTTCAATTTAGACTTATTCTATAAATACAGAATTAATTTGATTGCGATAAATATTACATGTTTGCTAATTACAGGATAACAGTAGTTATGCTGACACATTTCTGTTTTTGTTTTTTTTTAACTGTTGCGATAAGAGCAGATATTCAGTTACAATTCAATAAATTTTCAGATTCCATAATCAAAATTCCCATTCTGCAAAATTAAAAAATCGTTAATTGTTTATTTATAGTGATAGCTCTATTACAGATTATCAAAACATCGTTTGCACTTTTTACCTTTAATCCCCAAGCAATTGGTTGTTAATAACAGATTACAAATTAATTTTATCAATGTACGATGTTCATGTACTTACTTATGTATGGCGATACACATTTGAATTCGTATACAACAATTAATCGTCACAAAGTTAACGAATCATTAGCAAAATCATTATTTACAAATAAAACTTGATTAAAATAAGTAATTTGCAGTGAGCAGCGCTATTTTTTATTCCAGAGTTATCATTTTTCTAAACTTTTACATATAAAGAAATATTTAAAAAAAAACTACTAAACTTTTACATCAAACAAATGTAAGAATTTAGTTTTTTCTCCAAGAAATACCTAATAATTTGTGCAAAAGTCAAATGTGTTTTTAATTTTTGCGTAAGTATAGTTTTTATGAATGAAGAAAATGCGTACCATTACAATTCTTTAGGGTTTGCGTAATTTGTGGAAGTGATCACAGATGATCGACGAAGAAGATGGTTGAGACGATGATTTCTAACGAAGACAAAAATTAATTCAAAAACAGCCAACAGTTTTTAAAGTTAAACGACAGCTACATTGGCCACTTATAACTCGATGTGACAATTGAAAAAAAAAATACTATCCAGCTGGAGACATTTTCATTAAATAACAGAATAATGTTGGGGGCAGTGGTGTGGAACTCGCTTCGTGGGGATGGTAGAATCGCATATCACGCGAATGTTGCTCTGCACGCCACCGGGCACCGCGAACCAAACTTTCCCGCCAACGCGATTTTACTTTCAAACGCACTGAAATTCTTATTCTATCGTCTCATGATAAAGATTACTGAGAAATAGAAGTATAATTAATATTGGCGATATATCAAATTTATTACTTTTAATTGAACTGACTGACTTAACGGCAATATTAACTAGCATTATTGTTTCAATCGCGAGTTTCTAGAACTGTAGAGAGCAGGGCCGGATTTAGGGGAGGGCAACCGGGCTACAGCCCCGCGGCCTCCACAGAAGAACCTCACAATAGACTTCAGAAAAAAAAATTCAGACTAGTAAACACAGTAAACAACTTTTAATTTTAGATAATTCTCGTTTCCGTTTATATTTATATCTTCGTTAAAAAACAAAATAATCTATACTTGCTTTCACAGTAAATTATTTATTGGAAAATTTTAACGAAAAAATTGTTCCTTTTATTTGGAAAATAATTTGGAGCCAAGGGGCATCCACTGCTTTGTTGTCCCGAGGCCTCAAGACCTCTAAATCCGGCCCTGGTAGAGAGCATCGAGTAGCGACTAATCTTACGCCAGACCCATGTTTGCGCAATCTACATACTAATCATTGTTCGAATCTTGACAAATGTAATTAAATAAATAAAATAAATTTATTCACAGGTATATGGTCACGTTGCGGGGGACGAGTTCAGACCGACCCCCATACCACTGGACGAGTGGCGTCCCGACGAGAGACGCGGCCGCGCGGGCACCCTCCACGAAACCATTAACACGGACTCCCCAGCAGCGGTGTTCGCCGTTCCCGCGCATTACTGGGAGGATGCCCTGCGCCACAGCGTCTATCTCACTCTGGTCCGGGACAAAATAGACCAGCTGATCGCGAGGGGCGACATCGCCGCGCCGAACGGAAAGCCCCACCCCTACGGCCCAAACGAGGTCGACGATCAGGACCTGTGGGATAAGATAAAAGCGGCCCCGTTCGAGAGACTGAAAGAGGAGGAGCTGACGACGTACGGTGACGTCACGATCCTGGCGCGGGGCAGGCTGATGGAGCAGCCGGGAGGATTCCGCTTCACCGAGGACGATAAGTCCAAGGAGAAATGCAACAGTGACGATTGTATGGAGGGCGTCAAAGCATTCTGGTCAGTGAAACGCGTCCGGCAAAGGGACCAGGAAATCACGCCGGGCAGATACCACTACGAGTTAACCTTCTCCGTCATGTCACAAATACCGAGGAGGCAGAAGAAGCCGCACGAGCACCCGATAAGGACGTTCACGGTGCAGGAGAACGATAATAAAGCTTTCGAACCACCGCAAACGTATCAGGGAGCGGAGGTGCCTCAGCACCAGGGATCGCGGCCAGGGAGGGCGATATGGTTCCACAAAAATATACAAACGCCACAGTACCGAAAAAAGCAACATCAAAGCGGTTTGGAAAGGCTGTTCTCCTCGTGGTTCGACGACTACGACGATGAACCCAGCTACGAGCCCCCAAAGAGATACAAGCAAACCTCTTACCACCCTTCGCCGTCCCAATACTCCAAAGTGGGCCATGTGGGCGGCGCCAGCTCGGAGCAGCACTCGCAGAAAACATTACCGTATCCATACAGGCCTTACGGTGGGCAATATCAAAGCCATCCATCTCCACTCGCCACTCCACCAATGGCACCTATACAGCAGCATTACATTGAACCGGACACGGGTGGTTTTGAAAATCCATACGTACCGCAAACTGATTACAAAGTGTCGGGATTAAATAATACCCCGAGAACAACCCGCCCGGCGGTTTTACCTACGCCGTTGCCACCCTTGACCTCACCATCGAAGGAATTTTACAACAAACAGGGTAACTCAGTACAGCATGAGGTGTTCGAGCATGTAACAAATCCACCAGAAAATGCCCAGGTTCAAAAACAATACAACAAAGTGAAAACGCCCACGAAAGTACATCCATATCCAGACCAATTAAGACCACCGATATATAACGCACCACCAGGAGTATTTGTTACAAGGGACAAAAAACCATTTAAACCAATGCCCCCAATGAAGATCCCAATCGCCAAACCGTTAAGGACGAACAAACCCATCGATTTTCGGCCGAGTCCACAAGTACTCGATGTTCAGTTTTCTGAACCCGATCCTTTATTTGATACTGCATTTCGGCCAATCACTGTTAACTACTTCGACAGCAACACTACCGAAAACTTCCCAGTTGCTGAGAATAACGAAAAAGGCGAAAACAAAACACGAAAACCGAATGTAACTGCTAAAAAACCACTAAAGAAACACGAAATGAAATCTCAACGAATTACGACGACGACTATTCCGGATATAATTACACTTAACGATAATCCCGAACAAGACGATATGGAATGGGCAGACATTTTGGGAATCTTTTCGAAGACTACACCGATGGAGTCGCATAAAGATAGAACTAGAATATCACAAACGACTACACCCTTACCAACCTCAAGTGTTAGTGTAATATCTACATCAAGACAAGCTACTACGGAAATTCCTTCGACGCCATCACCTTCGACCGTTAAGCCGAAGAAACGTACTCGCCCTCCACCCAAGTTTACTAAAACAGAAAAAATCAAAAAGCACAAAAGGATCACAACTACTACAACTACAACAACATCACCAATTACTACCACAACAGATACCCCACTGACAACAAATAGTGCCGAGGAAAGAAAGAGAAATCTTAAGCAAGAGTTAACGCAACAAGCAAGTAATAGTGTCATAGCTACGACAAAACCAAAATGGTTACCTTCTTCTAAAACTAGCACGACGACGCCGTTCAGCACGACTACAACTGGTTATTCGACTACGACTACTAAAATTACTACCACAACCAAGGGAATGGAAAAAGAACCAGATTCGTCAACTGCACGACCAAAAAATGTGAATCGTTTTAGACAGTCAACTCTTATGTTAAAAGGAACTTCAGTAAAACATGATAGATGGACCGTAACAAGTTCTACGCCAGAGAAACATCGTGGGCAATCGGTGCCATCGTCGTTAACGCAAAGAAGAAAAGGATCAAATTTTCATGGATATGTTTCCTCCACCGCGAAAACTTTAGATGAAGTTCGAAATATCCAACATATTGATCACGGTACGAGTACTCTGTCAACTAGTCCGAAAAGTGAGGAGAGTACGGTCAAAAATATTGAGCTTACATCTACAGTGACCCCTGCTTATGAAGAAACGAACGAAACATCAATGGATAGTATGGAGGAATTGGATTTTAGTGAAGAAAAAAATCAAGAAAGCTCGGAAGAATCAAGAGACCATACTGAATATATTTTTCCACAGTCATCTGACACAGGTAATAACAAAAACATGGAGATATCTGATAGTCAGGACACTTTAACAACTGAAAATATTGTCAGTACGACATCGCACCCATTAGGAAAAACAAAGAAATGTAAGAAAAAACATCAAAATCTAACAACAAAAGAGAGCAGTACGAAGACCTATGAAATAAAAGATTTTACTACCACAAACGCCCCTTCAACTACACCGTTAACAACTCCAAATATATTAGAAGACTTACTTAATGATTTCTCTTTTGATGATAACACTTCAGAGAGTGAGACAACAAGTCAAAAGCTGGATCTAGAGAATGAACAAAGTCAGACCAATAAACAATACTTTGGAGTGAATGATGAATTGGAGGAACTTCTGGATTCACTTAAAAATGATAATAAATATGAAGATATATCTGATGACGAGTATGAAGAAGAGGATGAAGGTGAGAATGAAGATGACGGTGATGATGACGATGACGGTGATAAAGACGATGAAACCGAACACACTTTTGAAGAAGATGACACTACTTTTCATTCTGTAAATGATTCACCACGCTATTCACAAACAGATTATGAAGACAATGAAAAACGTCCATTCACGTTGCTTGAACTGATGGCCATGGAATAGACTGACATTTAGTACTTAAGTGAAAAAATTAGTAACCGAGCTTTAATTTCCAGTTCTATATTCTGTAATAGTAATTAATAACTTTGTTAAAAAGCTGCATACAATTTGAAGCATTTACAATACTTGTATAGATCCATTTGTATTGTATTTTTTTAATGAAAATAAGTTTTCAATTTAAATGTAAATATGTAAGATGTAGTATTTATAAATAATGATAGATAAAGCTAAAATAAAGTTTTTTATTAAACAAGGTTGAGTAACAATTATTTCTCTGTGGTGGTTTGTTTGGTGCTGTTGCTAAGGGATAGACAGTATATAGGCTTTGGTGCTATGGTGCCATGTTTGTAAAACACATCTTTATCAAAGGAATAGTTTACAGTTGGTGTGATGTTTAAAAAAAAGGTGCTTACCTGCTCCTTCCATTGAGTACTTGTATATAGGTTCCGGCTTTAAAGGAACCAATGGTGCTAACGTCTCAGGAATCATGTCTTTTACTCTTTGATGATAGGATAACCTGTGTGAATATTACAGAATTAGTATACACATATAAATTCATATAAAGTCTGCAGAAATTTTATTAATAATCATATACTTAAACAATATATTGCATTATAATATATACATACTACATGTACACTTTAACAAATTGATATATAAATAAACAGTTTACAACATTTTCATTGAATTATATAAGTTTCATATGGTAGTGTGCTTGGTACATAAATTGTCAAAAATTTACTTTTGGTGCTGCCAGAACGCAAACCTGTATTTTGTACATAGGATGTAAGTATGCAAGAAATATTTTTTGACATTTATATCTTAAAATAGAAAATTTTTAAGAGGCAGCTGATCATGTAGTTTTTGTTAAATTTGATATTTAGCTGATAGTATCCAACTTCAATATATAAAATTTTTCATAAGAATATGAAGTTTATTGTGTCATAATTTATTTTGTATGGATAAAATACTAAAACACTAAGATTTCAAATGATCCAGAGTTATTTAATTCAGTACTTTGCAATTGGTAAACTAGGAAAAAAAGTAAATTGATTGGATTAAATATTTTAACTGCTATATTTTGGGGTGATACTGTTGCATATAATTTATCCAAAAAGAAACCAAACAACCTAAGTATAGTAGTGTACATCTAAGATAGTTTATTTTTTATTTTCAATTAATAAGGTTACGCCTGTACATCAATTTAACTAACCTGAGACATTTTCCAAGGACCTCCCTAATAAATCTTGGCTTGGGGTGTTCTGGGTCAAGCTGAATGCAACCTTCCCAATCCTCCCATGACCAACGGTACTGGAAGTTACTCAGGTGATATGCAAACCAATTTGCAAATCTGAAATGTGATTATATGTATATATATTTGTAAATTAAAATTGGTTTTGTGTCTTGTTTACTATGATAAACCTGTACACATAAGATAGACTAACAATGAATTGAATTCACTGTGGAACATCCACAACTCGTGATAACATTACTAATGATGCATGTTATAAAATGACCAAACGGAGTAAGGCCACAAAGCAAAATTGTGTGCTTTTACCACAATGCATTGTGCAATGAAGAAAACCATGATGCATTCAAACACTAACATTAAAAGTATCAGTAGTGAAACTTGATGGTTGAAAATACGATATCCCTACAGCATTTACTGTTTTAGTATTTATATCCCTTATGTTCTATCGCTTTCAGTTTTAAATAAAAACACATTAAAATATGCTCTGATAAGTTAAATTTTAGAATCAGAAAATACTAACCTGTCGAAACAAGCAACATTCATTGTATCAATTCTCATGAAAAGAATTTCCGTAGCTTGAGCTAACACTTGAGGCATAGTAGATGGCTGCAGTTTACACAATTCAATAAGTATTGATCCATAACATATTTCTAAATACCTTGGTACTGGCAAATTAAATAGCTCTGCAAAAATAACCTCCACAATACAATATTCCAGAGGAATTTTGGCTTTATATGGAAAGCACAGTAGCTGGGCAGCACACTCTTTCCGTTCCAGGTGATAAGCCTCTATAATGTTATGTAGGTGCTCCTCAATCAGAAACCTCTCTATGGAATGTGCTCCTGGTAAAACTGGCCCATCAGGACAATCAGTATAGTCAAACATCCGGAATATCACCCTTGGCATGGGATAAGTGTCACCATCATTATGCGGCGGAGGCTGTAATAGAAAATAATTGGGATTTCATGTAATCTTTATTTAAAATTTTGAACTAATTCATTTAATTTTTGAACTAATCTGAGCATACAAAAAAAAATCATTATTACTATATTATATGAAATAAATATTTACTGTTAAGCTATTCTTAAATAATAAATTTATTATACAAAAATATGTTATAGACATTCTTTAAACTTATTTATGTATATCCTACATATTCTAATAATATTTAAAACAATCATAAAACAACCTTATTTCATCAGAACTTTTATACATAGCTTAGAATAATATGCTATTTTCTCAATTTTTTCTTTAACTTGATCAATTGGAAATTATTTGTCAACATTAATAAAGATAAATGGTTTCAAACAGATTGCAATCAAATTTATATATAATAAATGCACTGTCACACAATACTGAAATATGAGGTGAATACTGTAAACATTTCATTGTTTAAACTATCCAACATTATTTAAGTTATTGTTATGAACAATATGTGTTATCAATCATAATACATATTTAAAACAAACCTGTATACTAGGAAGAGTATGTTGCAGTGCTTCACAAAGTATAGAATCAAATGCTAGATATGGTCTTGGAATATGTTTTTCAGACCAGTTATCTTGCCTTAATTTCTTGATTTGAGCCCATAAGCAATCTAGATATTCTTCTTGCAGGTGAGGTGAGTCTGCTGACCACACCTTTAATGCTGGCCAGTGTTTCTTACTTCTTTTGTTCAGAAACACTTCAATAGTCACTAGCAAATGATCTAATTGAGATTCTTTCTTCTCATAAAGTTCTCTTCCAACCCATGGCAAGGTCGACAAGACAGCAAATACAAACCAATCTCTTCTTACTTGAGGTACACTATCCTCATTAGCGCTGTCAACTAATGTTTCTAAAAGTGTTAATAACGATGACGCGGCCAGTACATGGCAATTAACTAGGTCTGATATGAAGCGTAAACAATACCTAGCGGCATTCCACTTTCCACTTTTTAAATTCTCTTTAAATGTCTTCACAATATAATCAACGAATTCACCTCCGAAATTATAATTTTTAGCGTTAAGCAAACCAACTAATGTAGCATATATGGTACACTTTTCAGGCATACGAATGGCGCATTCAGTAAGTATACGAAGAATTTTAACTCTGAAGGTGCTCAGATCAGCTTCTAGAACGCTTGCCAATCCTTCAAGATTACTCTCTAAACTTGAACTACTTTTCTCTCCAACTCTCAATATAAGCGATTCTAATCTGTCTTCAATTTCTTGGTTTTCAGACACACGACGCCTTTTACGATGAACACGATCTTTAAAATTAAAACAGAATTTTATAATTATTGTCCTTTTAATACATACATAACCTATAAATATGTTTTACTTTACCATATCCATCTTCTTCTTCATGCCCTCGTCTTCTATTCATACTTTAATATTTTAAAGTAACGTTTACAAAAATATTTTTTTCTTAAAAAATAATAGCAAAAAGATTTGTATGATTTCACTAAAGGATTTAATTTAATCACTACGTTTCAGTTTACGAGAAACAAAATTCTGCAAAACCTGCCTAAGTGCATCTGACTATCTGACAAATTGACAATACGAACGAAAATAACGCTAAATGTTGGGGGGGAGGGTGACATACAAATTACAGATTCACTTTATCACCGAGTACAGAACAGATTGCTGAACAGACAATCAAATAAATGCATGTTCATAACATAAGTCATCATTAGTATTTTTTTTTTTTCAGTTTTTGTTAAGTGTAGTAAGATGTTAGCCCGGCGACTTTTACAGCTCCGTTGGAAGTAAAGCTGAGGCGTATACAAACAGAATCTATCCATTATCTCATATTAATAAGTTGCAAAATCGTGTTTGCGGTAAAAATATTTAATACTTCCGAGTATTATTTGTCACACACGATTGTGCTTGTTTTTTTTTATAAGAGACTTTTTATTCATATTGGCTAGTTCGCGGTTTGCTAGACGCTGGACGTACCATGTGTATTCGTCACTGCCCGGCAGATCATCTATCTTATTGTTATCGAGATAAGGACCATAATTGTGTTAACATTACACTAGCTCGTATCTCATATTTCGCACGTTATTACCTTTATAAAATTACGACAATTTTTTGCCAAAGTATCTTATTTTGATTTCTGAGTACTTTGTATGTTACTTACTTGTATACTTATGTTCAGTTATTTATGTAAATAACATGTTTTAATTTTATCGGTACCATGTTGCATTGGACTCCCAATAAATTTATTTTATTTAGATATTATCTATGCTCTCAGTATATAATCTATGGACCTCCCCTATAGGTAATAATGTTATTTGTTCAGGTTTGCCAACTTATGGCTTTTAGCCCCAAATTTAGGGCGGAAATATGCATACAGGGCTTTTTTTAGCGATGAATAATTATTTATTTATTTATTTATTTATACTTTATTGTACACCAAAAATAAAAATATATAAAAAGCAAATTACAAATGAATATAAAAGGAAGTACAATAGGCGGTCTTATCGCTCAGGCGATTTCTTCCAGACAACCATTGTGAAAAGAATATTTGCTAATGAGACATAAAGAAGAGAGCAGAGGGAGGTGTACATGAATCACTAATGAACATCGCATGAAGGCATTTATACGTCTATGAGAAAGTCAAAGATTTCGGGAAAAATAGGAAAGGAAAAAGGAAACCGTGAATTCACAGTTCCAAGTAATGAGTTTTAATAGGTTTTTAAAAGAAAGAAGTGACTTAGCTTGTCGAATGTGAAGGGGCAAAGAATTCCACAAACGCACAGCTGTCACTGTAAAAGATTTTTTGAAGAAGGAAGAGGAATGGTGTTCATTGGCGTATTCATTGAAAACCGCCAAAAAAGAAAAGAAGAAGAAGAAGAAGAGGAATGTACAGGAGTTTGGAGGGAGAGATTGGCAGAAGAACGAAGGGACCTTTCATGGGATAAGGAAAGATACTCGAAGCGATCTTTTAAGTATTTCGGAGTAGAGGGATTAAACAACACACTGTACAAAGCAGAGAGAATATGGGTATTCCTGCGAAGGCGGATTGGGAGCCACTTGAGCTGTGTACGAAAATCGGAAACATGATCATATTTACGAAGCCCAAATATGAATCGAAGACACAAATTTTGAATCCGCTCAAGTTTATTAAGCTGCACTTCGGTAATGTCAAGATAGCAAATATCAGCATAGTGAAGGTTGGGCAGAAGTAGTGAATAATATTACATGCATCACTATTTTGACTGACCAAAATGCCTATTAGGGAATGTAAATAATGAAATGTTATCTATTATTATGTCGTTCTGTTACTTATTCCAACAAATGTAATGAAAAGTAATTAAAACTAAATTATATTTTATTTACCTTAAGAAAACCTGAAATTTATTTTAATGATATCTTTGATTACAATACAAGGCTTATTTAGGGCTTTTGAAAGTTGTATTTAGGCCATTATATATGTTATATATTCAGGCCATCATTTCAGATATATAAAAGTACTCTTTGCAGGCCATTTTTTTAAAAGTTGGCAACCCTGGTGTATTTGTTATTTATATTTACTGTAAATTTGTAAAAACTGGCGTTATGTACCTACCCAAATTTTTATTTTTCGAGATCAATATTATTTAAATATAAGTCATTGAAAATGTCTTGTAATTACGCGGAAGGGCTATCACCATATGAACATAAAGGTGTCTTAGGCATACCAGAAGTAAATCCTTACAACATTTTATTAATAATAATTTATAACTTTGCGGGCTTTAACGTTGTCCTTTTATTTTCAGAAATTTGATGCTATTGACAAATTAAATGAAAAATGTGAAGTTTTATCTCATCTAATATCTGAAAGTAAACATGTAGTAATTCATACAGGTGCTGGTATTAGCACCTCAGCAGGGATTCCTGATTTTAGGTATTAATTCATTTATTATAAACCTTTGTTATTGCTATTGCTAGTTAATCCATATTCACTGCCTGCATTGAATGGGCAGCCTCTTCTGGGGAAGTATCATGGCCTTTCAGTTTCTATACTTTTGCATTTCAACTGATGAGTGAGGTAACAGGGGCCCACTTTTACTTAAGGGTTGTCAACGCATCTGCAATCCATGGACGTCGGTCGTCATCATACATCTGGTGATATGACAACTATTTTTATTTAGAAAATTACTCCCACCTTCAGCCAAAAAGTTCTGTGGGTTTTAAATGCCACACATAAATATGAACATCACATGCACAATTTACACTTAGACTGAATAAGTAGGTATTTATGATTTTTTTTTCCTTTGCGGTATTTGGACTTGACAGCATGGTGTGCAATGCCAGATATACATTTGATACCCAAACCATGCAGTGTTATGGTATACAATTTTGTTTAAAGCAGGAAATGTTCATGGAATAAAATTTATTAGTTGAAAGATACCCTAAAAAGATATATTTTGTTACAAAAAATATTTTACACTTAAAATTTTACACCTATTTCATTATCCTATTACAGGGGACCGAATGGTGTTTGGACTCTAGAAAAAGAAGGAAAACGCCCCTCATGTAACATATCTTTTACGGAGGCAAAACCCACTAAAAGTCATATGATATTAAAGAAATTAGTGGAGTGTAATAAAGTCCAATATATCATTAGTCAGAACATTGATGGTCTTCACCTAAAATCTGGTTTACCAAGGAAATATTTGTCTGAACTCCATGGTAATATGTTCATTGATGAATGTGGTCTGTGTAAAAGGTGACTAAAGAAACAATTTTTTAAATTAGAGCAAACAGATCAATTTAATGTAAATATTTGTCAAGATACAGGGTGGCTTTTCTAAAGGTGCCCAAATTCACACAGAAGGTTCAGACTGGGTAGTATAATTGTTTATTGAAATAAAAACAAATGTTTTAAAAAAATTGCCATTCCATTCCCTAAAAAACAGAACTTGTTGACAATCCCGTAGTCATTTATAACGCATCATATACTTTTGAAACGAACTTGTGTGCGTGTTACTTATGAATGATTGTGCATAAAATAAATGAGTTGCCCATAAACCACGCATAAGGATAAGCACTAGATAAGTAACGCATAGATAAGTTAAAATGAATGTATTTAATTAATTACAAGTGATTTTAAATATTTATTATTTTTTATATAACATTATTTATGTCTAGAATTTAATAAAAAAAAATGGATACACTTAAAATAACCTCCCTGTATATCAAATTTAAATATTACAATTTTAAATGTACTGTTATATATTTGTACATGCTTATTACTCTGATAGCCGTGATAGCTCAGTGTCCGGGCGCTCGCCTTTAATTAAATGCAACCTGAGTTCGATCCCCGGTGCCGGCACCAATGAAGTTTTTAACTTTAAGTGCTGACTTATCACGTGCTCCGCGGTGAAGGAAAACATCGTGAGGAAACCTGCATATTTTCGAAATAATAACAAAAAAAAAAAATTTCGAAAATATGTGAAGTCCGCCAATCCGCAGTGGGGCCGCGTGGTGGACTACGCCCTGATACCCTCTGTATAGAGGAGGCCTTTGCCCAGCAGTGGGACATGTATAGGCTGTTACTTTTATTACTCTGAATTATATTTTCCAGGCAATTTATTCGAAACTCACCTGTAGAAACTGTAGGCAAAAAATGCAGTGGGGTTCCATGTGCATCGGAATTAAACGGTGGCAGACCTTGTAGAGGGCGTTTATACGATGGAGTCTTGGACTGGGAACATAGCTTGCCCGAAAATGACTTATTGATGGCTGAATGGCATTCCAGGTATGTTCATGATAATGTGATTTGTTGATGTTCATTAGTGCTATTAATATTTTTTAAAGAAACAGAAACTATCAATGGGTCAAACAAATACTCATCTTGTGAGGGAATTGAAGCATCAAGCAGTTGTGCAAAAGCCAATAGCGGAGCAACAGCACCACTGGAGTCATCATTTTATATTTTGTTACATTGATATTGTTTTTTTATTTGTATAATCTATCTAATAATCACGATTTCTTCTACTTTGTTTATTATATTAAAAATGTATTGTATGCACAGACAGAAAAACATCAAAAAGATTGGTACTTTGCTTATAAAATTTTAGCTAGCCAAGAAAATCATCACTGAACAGTGTTAATAAAAAAAACAACTTCACACTAAATTGATCACAATAATTTTATTTTAAGATAAGGGCCAAGTGTCTAAGAAATAAAACTTGGAAGAATTATTTGAAATCTTTCTAGTAGTTCTTCTGTGATGTGCACACAACACCAGAACTCTAATTTTATTTATATAGATATTCTCACTTTCAGTATTGCAGACTTAAGTATATGCTTAGGGACAACATTACAAATCATACCAAGCGGCAATCTACCTCTCGAAACAGTGAAGTATGGTGGAAAGTTGGTTATATGTAACCTGCAACCGACTAAACATGTAAGTGTCTGCTTTTAAAATACTTATATCTTAATGTAAATCTAGTCTGTGATCATTTTTTTTTTCACAGGATAATAAAGCAGACCTAGTTATAAATTATTATGTTGATGATATATTAGAAAAAGTAATGGAGATTTTAGGGTTAAATATACCAAACTACAATGAAACCGATGATCCAACAAAGTTAGCAGAATCTTCTATCATACAATGGACAATTAATAAGAATGAAGTCATGGCATTCGAGAAAGTGTTTAAAGCAAAATGTAAAGGCGTGAAGAAAAAGAGAATATTAATTAAAACAAAGAGAAATAGTACAGAACTATTGTCAATGAATGATATTAAACACGAAAATATCAAAGTCACTAAGTTGGAAATAAAACAAGAATGTTCATAGCTCTGTTTATTTTTAACAATGTCCAATACTCAATTTTGCCATTCCTTAGAAAATTAAAAGTGCATATTATAAACCAATTTTGAATCTAAACTTTTACAAATATGTATTGAATAAAAATTATATGAATCTGAAGATTATCAGTTACTAGTTATTTGTACATCATGACATGAACTAATACACAACATAATAAAAATAAACATCCTTTGGATCATAACATGACATATATTTTTATTTATCATTACAATTATTAAAAATTTATATTTTGGTAGCAGTGGCGGTGTGTGTTAAATATAATACTTTATAGTACACTTGAACGCTATTAGTTAAAACATTTTTTATTGTATTGTATTATTATTGCACTCCCTTGCAACTAAGCAAGTAGTCCACATGAGGGGGAACAATAGACTGGCGTGCGTTCAAAATGATTCACTAACAACATGTCGTCATTTAAAACAACTAACAACATTTGTTTTGTTTGATTTGCTTCTATTTGAATGTAAGAACGCAGTGTACATGACATTCTATGATGCTTAGACAAAGTAATAGTTATATAAGTGGAAGGTTTAAGGAGGGTGAAGTATATTTCCTCTAGTCTACCATACATTATGGAGATTTAAAACTGTAGGGCAGTCTATGCTATTAATGGGTAGGCTCATCCAAGTACTAAGGCCTTGAAAAAGAACGACGTGAAATGGAAATATTATTCTGTAGCGTTTCGTTATGGTGACGTGTTGTAAATGTTGTGTTAGGCGGTAATCACATTTTACTTTACATCATGAACCGCCTGCTTGCTTGCTTCATAGTTTTTTCAGTCAACCATATGGGCCATTTGTCAACATACGTCAACAGAATGTGCCAGCTGAGGTTGACTGAAAATATTGGCAAGCTATTGTTGCTCTCCAAAAAAAAAAACTTAATAAAAAACAAACCATTAAAATATTTAACAAAGCATTTACGCATAGACATAATCAAACAGAAGGAATGTAAAAGTATCACCGAATTGTTTTTTTTTGACGTAATAAAATTTACCCCATCATTAAAATGATAACGAATTTTATAGTGCTACTAGCTGCTGCCCGCGACTACGTCTGCGTAGAGAGGTGAATATTTAGGGTTGTATTTTTGTATGCTGTATCATAAAGAAATAAAAACAAAAAAAAAATATATAAAAAATAAAAAAAAATTGGGGTGGACCACCCTTAACACTTAGGGGGATGAAAAATAGATGTTGTCCGATTCTCCACCCTGGCACACAAAATTTCAGAGCCGTTTCGGAGGAGTTCAATTACAAACACCGTGACACGAGAATTTTATACAGCGTGTCGTTACCATCGCGACAATAAGTGAACACACGTCTAACGCTACTTGCCAATAATCATAAAAAAATATTAACGTTAAACAAAATCCATAATTAAAAAAAAATATTTTTCAAACACACTAATTAAGTAAAAAAGAAACAAAATTTGTAATCCATCCTATACAACTCGCGCCACAGCGTCGCATTACAAGCCTCTCCTTCTAACAGAAGATTTTTAAAGAATGTAAATGTTTAATACAATTTTAAAAAGTTATCCTTTATGTGTGTTCATTTATTGTCGCGGTGGTAACGACACGCTGTATATTAATGACGCTCTAGCCACTGAGTTATGTCCTAAAGAAAAGTGGTTATTTGCTATAAAGGAAACAAACTAGATGGCGACAAGCTTGGCGCCGCAGGTTCAAGTCCTTACAGTGTGGAAAATAATTTTGTTCATTTTTTTCATACAAATTTTAAAATTACCCCATCCCCCCATTCTTTATTATACCCCATTCTTTTTCAGTAGGTACCTGGATTTAGTAGGTATTTGGATACTTTTTATCTATGTTATTAATAATTAGTCAATAGTTGATAACATTTATAATTATTATAAAAAAATAAAAAAAATTACAATTTGTCATTTCCAAAATATATTATACCCTGTGGTAAATGATACCTACAATTGAATTGTTTATTGCGAGCAATCACCAGTAAATTTCTATAACAATATGATGAGATTTGCGACGTTTCTCTTATGGCAGTGTTCACCAACATATTGAAATGCTCGTATAAATAGTAATGTATACAAAATAAGCGAGGTTATGGTCTTACTGGTTATGAGAGGGGATTTCATATAGAAATTGTTTTACAAAATAATGGACATGATTGATAATTCTGATTACGTCACGATAGGAAACGGGTCGCTTGAAAAGCTAAAATAGTCACAAGAGGAAGGACCAAGTTATCGACTTGGTCGGTTTTTGCTTCCGTCAACGCCGAAGCTGTCGCCGCGATAACGGTCCGCGCTAAGGCATGCCTCGCTTGCAGCAATTCTGAAAATGACCAAACAATTCTTAACTGAGCGATTAAACTTTACTAATTATCTTATATATATAAAAGTTATATATATATATAAGTAATGTAATAAAAATTAATTATATATATAATAATCTTATATAATTATATAAAACTTTACTAGTAATCTTATATATATAAATGGATTGCTGTTCGTTAGTCACGCTAAAACTCAACAACGGCTGGAATAATTTTGGATTTGTAATATTTGTGGCAGTCCAGGGAAGGTTTAAACGATGAGAAATTATGGGAAAATTGCATTGCAAAATCGAAATAGCAACAATTTTATTTTCCCATACAAACTGTACCTGTCAACCTGTCAAACGATTTTTGAACGCATTCCGATTCCTCTGGAAATAATTTATATGGCAAAACAACGTTTGCCGAGTCAGCTAGTAATACATATAAAATGGCCGCACATAGTGAACAAGTAAGCGAATAGCTCGAGATTATCTGATAGACCGTGAATTTTCTATGCCCAACTTGCATGTCTAGTGTGGTCCACAAAGATTCGGTGCGTTCGGGATTCGAACCTTGGCAATCTGGCAATCGATAATCAAACAAGCCTCACCGAAAAACTCCAGCGCGTACACAACGGCCACTTGCGATAAGATATTGAAAGCGGTCCCTTCCAAAGTCCGGTTGCTATCTGCGGATTAAATTGAAGCATGTAATTGTGTTTAAATGATATACATTTTTTTATTATTTATAACCAAATCAAGTTTCCATATTGGCTAATGTCTTAATTTTAGCGACATTCTGTACGGCCACGGAACAGCTACTGTTACTGCACAAAAGGTCGGGTTCGTCCGGAGAAGAACCACGATCTCACATGAGAACGGCGTGAAGCGGAAGTATTATACTTACGCGTTTTCTATTGAGTGAGGTAACCGGCAACCATATTTCAAGAGGTTGTCAACGCATCCACAGCTCCTCAGGTGTTGATGGCCATGGGCGGCGGTATTCGCTTAGCATCGGGTGGACCGCCTTCGTGGGGGAAATCCCTACGCGTACCCATCCTCGCGGGGGCAAGTACGGGTGAACCGTCGGGTCGTTTGACAACTTTTCAAATTAAAAAAAACACGGTCATCGACGTTTTCGGCAACCATCGTAAGATCGCGATTTTAGAAAGTACTGAATTTGACTTTGAATACGGTATGGGACTTAAAGACGATACGGGACTGAAATACGGTACGGGACTTAAACACGATACGGGACTTAAACACAGTACGGGACTTAAAGACGATACGGGACTGAAAGACGGTACGGGACTTAAACACAGTACGGGACTTAAACACGGTACGGGACTTAAACACAGCACGGGACTTAAACACAGTACGGGACTTAAACACAGTACGGGACTTAAACACGGTACGGGACTTAAACACAGTACGGGACTTAAACACAGTACGGGACTTAAACACGGTACGGGACTTAAACACGGTACGGGACTTAAACACAGCACGGGACTTAAACACAGTATGGGACTAAAACGCAGTTCGGGACTCCCCACCTGCCCAGCGAGTTCGGCCGATGGTGGCGCCCGCACAACTGGCCACCGTGTCGCCCACTCCCACCGCCAGCACGCCGGACAATAGCTCCAGGGGCGCAGTGGCCGGAGCGAGCAGCAGCGGACACGCAAGTCCCGCGTACAAATACAGCGGCGTCATTGCGAACGCGCCGCAGTCCTGACGGAACGCAAGCCGGCTGAGCGCACGCTTTCTTACCCAAAAGCCGGCCAGGGGACGACTAATACTTCGCCGTATGGTAAACAAGATGTAAACTTAGATAGCAAGATTTAATCTTAGTAAAATAACTAAGTTATTTAACTAATCCGTGTTTGTAACCTACAAAAGTTGTATGAAAGATCAGATATTTTAGAATATCTTATCAGCTACATGCAAAGAAAGAACAAGGCAACAAATGTATTTGAACTCATGTTACTAAAATGTATAGTTTTGAAGTTATTTATAATTATGAAGCTGTTAGTCGTGGTGAGAAATAAATATTTTTATTATTATTATTATTATTTTGTGGATTGCAGCAAAAAGGGTGCCAACGCCGATATCGTCTCGCTTCTTGCACATATTGAATAAAATGAAACTGAATAAAAATACATGAAATTAAAAATGATTACATCATACCTTTTCGTCGCCATATATAACAAATGTCGATTGAAGCGCTGATGATATTGGTTCAATCCTTGCTATCCTTAAAGCCTGCAAGTTTTTAAAACTTTTTATTAATCTATAGTTATGTTCACAATGCTTACACAGACAAAAATTAGATCATTTTATAAAATTAAAAGTTAAAGAATTAAATGAACTTAAGTCATGAGTTATTATCAAACAAGTAAACACAGGAAATAAAGAATTATTTTAAACTGGTTTTTGACCGAGGTTTCATATGGGTTAATTTATATTTCGCAAATCATAAAACCCTAACATTATTACTCTATCTCCGAGCTAAAAAACATACAGCTTAATCGCTGCAATGAAAAAATCATAATTCAATTATGATTCTACTGCGGATAACAATGATAAGTACAAATTTCAAAATAACAACTATGAATCACATCATATACGTCATGCGCTAAAAATGTAAAGCTAAGTTCTTCTTCTCACACTGAATTACATTTAAAGTAATAGAAAATAAATAAATTTTGTACCTCAACAAATATTATGAGTGCAAGACCAACTCCAGCAGCGAGAGTCATAAAAGGGACATCAGTAAGAACCCCACTAAGGAATACTAAAGATGCCAATAAATGAAAAGTTTTTCTTTTCACAGTGGTGGCTTTTACTGCCAACCTCGTTGATACATATAGTACAAGAACTGACAGTATAACTAATGCCAACCAGAATATCAATAGTTTTACCTGAAAAGAAGATAATGTTATTATTTGAAGGTGAAGTAATGTATAAATGTTCAATCTGTATTGACCACCATAATATAAAAGAGCACAAGGCTTTGCTAGATGGCATTTCTGGTGGTCAGATTGGACAAATCGCTCCAATGCCACATACATTAGCATTTTAAATTTAATAACATCCGTAACAGAGCCGAGTTCGTCTCCGGCCGGCTAAGCACTTTAACTAACCAGTCAAGTAAAATGTCCTTAAGACACAAATTACTTTTATACAAAGCTTGCATACGGCCAATCATGTCCTACGCATGCATGATTTTCGCCCACACGCACCCTACTCGCTTGCACAAATTGCAAGTAGTGCAAAATAAGTTCATCCGCCGCGCAACCGGTGCTCAGTGGTATCAACGCAACGTCGACCTGCACAGCGATTGCAGAATCCCGACGATTCGCGAATTTTTCAAAGACCTGACCAAACGCTTCTTCGATAGAGCTGAACTTGATGATCATCCCAACCCTCTGGTGGTAAGCGCAGCAAATTTCCAACCCGATCCAAACGCGAACGTCAACAAGCGTTGCCCGCGAAACGTCGTCATCGATCCGGTCGCGGTAGGGGATTTAGGTACGTCGGACCCACCGTCGGGGGTCCCGGTGGATAACACTACACACACAGTTAGTGTAGCAATAAACACATTAATTCGCCCTCGCCTCGGAGCACGGCGAGATCAACACAACGCGTACTGAAGGTACACCCGCGTTCCAGGGCGGTTCTCACCGCCCCCAGCCACCGATTAGGTAAAAACACAGTCGTCGGCCATCGGGTCTCAGTCCGCACGCCAACTTCGATGGCCCTTACATGACATGCCGTAGTTAAACGCACGCATGAGCACATGCACGGCCCTACCCACAGTGGAGGGCCCAAACCCGTGGGTTTTGGCTAGCCCACTGGTTCTGCGTCAGATAAAGCTTTAATAGTCTCGGGACTGAAAGCACAAACATCAGTTAATACAAGACAAGACACAAGATTTTAAATTAATTTATCTGCTATAAATTCATATAATAATTTTGAAAAAAGCTTACTCTCACAATGTCCATGAAAATGTAATCATAAATCCTGATCAAGCAAGTTGGTCCCATAATGCAATGCAAAATGATAAGTATGGCAGTAATACCAGCTGCAACTATGCATTGCAATGACCACAAATTCCTATGCTTGTCATCCAGGTAGAACAGTGCTGTAACAATTAACCCCAATGTTGATAACCCTATCTGAAATAATAATAAACACCTAACTGAAATAAACTAAGGCTTAATAAAGAAGGCTAGTTTTCTTTAAGTTTAACTACGTGTTATTTTTTATGTAGGGTATAAGTATAGCATGTACTCTATATCACAATGTTTTTATGAATAAATTGGTCAATATAAACAAGTAATAACTTAGTGATATTTCCAATTTTTTGTTAAAGGAAATTGCACGGGAAGAAGTCTCTCAAACTAAGCAAAGCTGTAATATGGGTATTTGGTAACTGATAAACACACTTTTCTTTCTTTAGTCAATAAACATACATACATATACATCACACTATACATATTATAGATATCTAAACAACCAGACACTAGAAAAACACATATTAATCGCATTATTTTTCTAGTAGTGAGGATCAAACAAAAACCCCTCTGGCGCAAGAGTCAGCTTAACTGCACAAACTGCACAATCAATATCATAGCCGATATTTTTTAAAAAAAATTAAGGTGTCAATAGTATAAACATAATTTGCCCACTTTTAGGTAAAACTTAATACTTCAGCTGTGCTTCTGTGAAAAAACAACATGATTAACATTATTTTTTTTAACTAAAAGGTGAGCTAAGTGTATACTTACAAAGATTATAGTGTTAATAAATGTGTACTCTTCATTCGTATCATTCAAAAGGTCATGAACAAATTTAAGTGTAGAGGCTGTCACAAACAGAGTTAAGCTTTGTACCACCACCATAGCTTCGCCAATTGTGAATGTTTTTGGAAAATTTATAAGAGCAACTTTTATCAGTGCATTGAAGAAATATATACATGGCAAAGAACAAATAAGAGAAGACAATAAATCTGCAAGAAACGGAGAAAAATTAATATCCTTTCTAAATTTTACTGTTTAATTTAATAATCTTAGTTAATATAACAGTTCAGTATTTTACAAATTAAATATGTTATTTCAAGTAATGAAATAATTTGCCCTAGGTAAATATATGTTATTTTTGAGAAGCTGTTTAGGAGCAATAAAAAAGTATGACCTTCCAATTTTTTACAAATGTTCAACTTTTTTAATAACAGTTTTCACAAACCTTTTTCTGAAAATATGTAAATAAGGATGGTTGATATCAAACTTGAAGCCATACATCCACCATACACTGGCTCTTTTATGATGACACTAGATATTGACAGGAATATTATGAAAAGGGAACCATAGAAAAATAAACCTACTGATACAAAGGTGATTATTTGGTAGAGTGTCGATGTTTTGTATATGATGGTATTTATCGTAAGAATAAATGGCAATAGCATATAACACCAAAGGCCTTGACTTTTAGCTAATCTGAAAAAAAAATATATGTATAATAATTAAATCAAATTTAATTTAACTTTTGGAGTAACTTTTTTATGAACAAAATAACATTAAAGTAGCAAAGAATAGTTGATCTAAGTATAAAAATATAGTATTTTTAATTACTAATATATATTACCACATAGTAGCAAATATTATTTATGACTTGATTTTAAAATACTTTTATTTATTTTTTGCTTTAGTTATTAATTGCTTTTTAGTTATATTTTCTTTATTTTTTATGTAGTTAAAATGGCCATTGTACTTATTATATTTCAATATTTGCTCTATAGTTCAGCACTGTTATTAATCTTAAGTAGATTAAAATTAAATTAACAGATTTAAGACATTAATACATTGGCTACATAAGTTTTCCAAGTTCAAAAACTTAAAAATTACAACAGTAGAAGGTGAATTTAAAAAACGACATATTTTATCGCATAAAAATTTCATGTTCATATAAATTTCAAACAAAACTTGCCTTGTCTCTATGCCGGTTTCTTTGAGATTGTTTGATATTTGGCTATTTAAAGACATAACGAATTTTCCACATTTAGAGATAATATGTCTATTATTCTGCCTAAAAGATATAGAACCCTTGTCCATTCTACTAGAGTAGAAAATATAAATGCTTCAAGTTGAAGTAACAACTGTTTATAAGTGATAACTGTTGTAATTTGTCAGGTTATAAAAAAATAATTTAATGTCTAAATCAACACACAGAATTTTTAAATGGTCTAAGTAATAATGCTATTCAATGTAATATTAAATTAAACAAGTCTTTTTATTCCAAAATCCTCGGAATACTATTATACTAATTACTACTGTCATACTGTCATACTGTCATCTGTCACTGTCAAACTGAATGACAGAGATATTTAGAAAAGTAACTGAAAACGGTGATGCTTCGTTTGATATTCTTTATTGATCTAATATTTACAAGATTAAATCTATCTAAAATTACATATTATGTAATAAACCTAATCCACGCGGCATGGTGCCAAGAACGCTAGCTGCATTTCCTCGCTGAATAGTTATGCTTAACCTTTGAGCGAGAATAGAACCAGCTCTCTTGTCACCAGGCGCGGCGTTAAGCCTAGGACATAAACTTTTAAAAAAAATTGATTGTTTGATATTGGTATACAAAACTTTGATATCCGTTATCACAAGAACTGAAATGTTATAATAACTAATCAGAACGTTCCATAATCAATATTAAGCAGTGATATTAGCGTAACGTCTTCTTCGTTATGATATTGATATTGGCTTCATCATTTTTTAACGCGTGGTTGCTATAGTGGCGAAACGAGATGGAGCAAATAGAATATGAGATTAGATTTCGCGATTATAATTACATACTGATAACGAACTTAAGCTACATGGGAATAAGATATAATTTTGAATACTTTTGGTGCGTTAAGTAAAATGGTTAGGTTCATTTGTAAATATTTAGATAGTTTATTATTCATGTAGTATGTATGTCGCAAACAATTAGTAGTATTTGGACACATTGGCAAATGTCATGATATAAATTGACTACAAAGCGATGTATTACACAAACTATCTATAACTGACACAAACAGAATCAGCTCGAACTTCCTTTCGATTAATACATTTCCGAATAAAACATCTTTAAAGCGTATGCCCGGACATTGAGTTATTACGGCTAGCATTATACTTAACTTGAGTTCAAATCCCGGTACCACCACCAATTAAACTATTAATTTTAAAGTGATTACTAGAATCACGTGCTCAGCGAAACATAACATCGTAAGGAAACCTTTGTACAATATGAAGTGCTATAATTACGGAGCTTTTACTTCTTTTGTATTAAAATAATAATAGCAACTAATTGATTTCAAATATACTAGGTTACATCGAGTACCTGTTACACTTGTTCCTGTTCCTTAAAAGTAACAGTGACAAATACCTATTATAAAATAACAGCCTGTTATTTGATACTATGTTGTTATAATTTGTGTAACTATCACCATAGTAACGGCTGTTACAGTATTTAACTCTATAGTAACGTCTGTACTTCTCTTTCTAACAAAGCTATAAGACCCATGCAAGAAAAAAAAAAAAGTTTGTAACAGTGACAGTGTTCAGTAACAACTGTGAAAAGGTGTAACAGCTTTTTCTCTTTCTGACTAAGGTAATTGTGGTAAGCATGAATAAAGAAAAGCTTGTGACCGCGTATTAAGAATCAAATTGTGCGGAACAGGAACGGTTATTAAAGTTGGTTCGTAACATGTGCAGTGTATTATCTCGAGATACCTGTGATATTTACTGTTACTATAAATACGCCTCACTCCTAGCGTGAGGTTGCAGCGGAACGGAAGACGTTATCGAGGCATCGTCGAGCACCAGCTTTTGAGTCCGTGCGTCACCTACCCGACGACCTATTCCAACGCAACCGCACATTTACTTTGTACAACAGCGTACTACATTTAAAATCTTCTTTTTCTACAGTGGTCATTTCAGGTAATTTAAGGGAATATTATTGGCAAAGTTTTATCGAAGCCTAAAAGACGCGACTCCAGGGCCGTTATACAATAAAAAAAACTATTATCTAACGGCTCACCGTGGGTGCGACAATTGTTTGTTTTAGTGACAGACCAGACAGACTGACATAGGCATGAGATATACCTGCAACATTCTATACCCGGCCTCAAAGGTACGGGTATCGCCGTATACCTGGTGCTCAAACCCAGTATCAAAATACCTATAGGTATTAGTTATGTTCAGGCCTCCTTTTGGAGACGCGGTCGAATAAAACGAATTGAACCTTTGGTTGGAATTGGAACATTTAAATGTGTTTTAGCAATCAGTTTTTTTAAATTGAGATTTAATCAGTCTAAAATAAGCTCCATCTTTACTAACGTAAAGAACCCTATTATCAAAAAAAAAGTAATTCAAAATAAATATTGCTGTTAACCTTATTACGCAATTATTTATTTAACTTATGGTCATAGAAACAAAGAATAAATTTATCTCAAGGAATTATTTGGTATAAAATGCCTAAATCATACGTTTCAATTCGGGCATGATCGAGAAGAGCCGCCGTAAGCGTTCGGGGAACTTCATAACCTATTCGGCCGGCGGGTTGTCGCGAGCGTATATACCGCCACCGTCGGACGAGACGGCCATACCTATCGGGTATGGAACGGGCCTCTGCCGTACATACCCGGTGTGCGTACTGGTATGTTCATACTGGGTATTTATACCTGTGCCAGTATATACGCCCATCCCTAGACTGACAGTTTTAATATTACTCGTGCGGGGTACAGATCAGTGTGGGTGTATCGCATGGTATTGATTATTATATATTGTAAAGTGTATCGTATATAATTTTGTAAAAATGCTTCGAAACTTTACTAAATTGGTGCAAATTCAAAAAGCTAAATTCGCTTCTGCTGCAGCCCCTGCACCTCAAACTAAGCCAGAAATTTTATATACTGGGGTAAATAAATATGTCTTAAAAATTATTATAATATCGTTCATCCATCAGTATTTTAACATTTTATTTTATTTGCTGCAAAGCAACGCTTGTTTATTGTAAAAATATTTTTATTAAAATACATACTATATATTAAAAACATAATTAAATTGTAATTTGACTTCACTATATGATTTTTTATTCATTTTTCGGTTGCAGTTGTTCATTAACAATGAATGGGTAAAATCTTCTGATGGTAAAGCTTTTAAAACTGAAAATCCAGCCACTGAGGAAGTCATTGCTGAAGTACAGCAGGCAGGCAAAGCAGATGTGGATAAAGCTGTAAAGGCAGCCAAAGATGCTTTCAAGTATGTATTCATAAACGAGAATATAATTTATCTTAAAAGTATTGATTTATCTTATAAGTATCTCCAGGAAATTTCAAAATTTATTTATAAATTTTAAAGATTTTTTTTATATTTTGTAGTAATCTTCAGTTATTGTTAGGTTCTACATGTGATATATACTGCATATGATATAATTACTATATTTTTCTGTTGTTCATATTAATTTGTTGATGGCACAAAAAAAAAGAGTCTTTCCTCTTATATAAAAATAATCCCTGTGAACTTTGAATATTAACCCTGTTGATTTTCCAATGTATGATAGGTTTGGATCCCCATGGAGGAGGATGGATGCTTCAGAGAGGGGTTACTTGATCAACAAATTGGCTGACCTCATTGACAGAGATAGAGTATACTTGGCTGTATGTATAAAAATTTTTTGATGGCTATATATTGATAACTAAGTATAATATTTATTACAAGTATTAAAAGTGGTATTTGTGTCAATAACATATTTATCTTATATTATAGATAATTATACTCTTTTATAATCTATATCTTGATTTACTGTTTTAAGTGGGGTTTGACAAATTATAGCATTTTTTTTTATTATTAAATAAACTATACAAATGTTGCTTACAACCCTTAGTGAATAAACATAATGAGGTGAAGCAGATTTTGCAAAACTATTTGGGTTCTCGTTAGAATCGGAATGATTTTTTGCGCGCAGATTTTTTTTTAGTTAATCAGAAAATAAAAAAAATATTAGTGCAAGTTGTCGGGTATTAAACCTAGCGTTATGTCGTTCCCAAAACGGTATTATGTATACGCTTTGTAAGCATAGAGGATGCCTAGTATTGCCCCAGGACTGACTTGGAGGCCATCTGCGTCGTCAATTTATTCGTAATGAGTTTAATGAATTCTCATATTTCATTATTACTCATTTTTTATCATAACCTAAAATGAAAATCTTAAAATTAAAAATAACTTATCAGATTTAAACAATTAAACGGAACTATATTGAAAAATAAAACAATCATGTTTTTAGTATTAAAATCTCCTGTAAACTGACTGACTGAATTTAGATTCTAATAAAAAGAAAAATGTCGAATACATATGTCAAACTATACAAAATTGTAACAACGTTCCAAACACGCGGCCCAGAATACGAAAAGTTGTCTGCTTCCGATTGTCAAGGTCGACCGGCGTAGCTATTATGAGATACTGTTGGCATTTTATTATTTATCTTCGTGTATATAGATATACACACGTATTTACTCATCTTCCAAATTTTTTGTATGATTTTACTAATAAAGTGCGATATTTGCTTTTAAATTTGTCAAAACGTTGCCAACGTCTTCGTTGAGGCTCAAGGTATCTTTAATAATATCACAATTATAAGATACTAGCGATCCGCCCCGGCTTTGCACGGGTGCAATGTATTCATGCAAATAAACCTTCCTCTTGAATCACTCTATCTAGTAAAAAAAACCGCATCAAGATCCGTTGCTTAGTTTTAAAGATCTAAGCATAAATAGGGACAAACAGAGAGCGGGACGACTTTGTTTTATACTATGTAGTGATTGTTGGAGCTTGAAGCTTTTCAAAGTACAAACTGGTTAAATAATAACGTCCGAAAAGCACGCTGAGTAGTCAAATAGAATGGATTAAGTGGATAATTCAATTTATTATCACGTTTTGTAACCGAGAAATGACACAAGCCTCGCAATTCGATAAGATCGATGCTGTGTCAATATTTTTTAACGTGAAAAATGTCAAACGAACATGTAGTGCACCTGATGTTAATTGATTTAGATCCATGGAAATCTACAATACTCGAGGAATTGCAGATGCGTTGCCAACCTTTACAAAGGCGAGCCCTGTCCCCACTCACCAGGCGAAACGCGAAAGTATAATACTTCTCCACTTTACGCGCGTCTTGTTCAAGCAATGCCATGGTACTACTATCTTGGACCGGGCTGCCCATTGCAGATGCTGTATGGCCATACCACTGTAAAGTATTACTTGATAAGCTTAAAGCTATTTATCCCAATAATATATTTGTAATGTCTGTTATGTTATTTATTACATAAAAATTTAGTGATAGTGACACTATATCATCAACCACAATCAATGCCGTATTAAGCAAGTGCGGGGCTCGTAGCAAATTCTTTCATAGAGCTCTTTTGATCTGTTATGGGTTCCTATTTATGCAGTGGTTAAAGAACAATTAAATAATCCGACTTAATAAGTTACAAAAAATTAGAAGTGAGTGCGGTTTAAATATGCGGAGCCCCCTTTCCCGCGAGGCACGTAGCAAATGCTTTTTTTTATGTGAGAAAGTGGCAAACGAGCTGGCGGTTCACCTTATGTTAAATGATAACCGCCGCCCATGAACATTTGATACATGGAACATACTCCTAGCTAGGGTTGCAAATGTGTTTCCACCTTGAAATAAAGTGGGCCCCGGCTACTTTACGCTGTGAGGTCGTGGTACTTACCCTGACGGACCTGCCCATTCGTGCAACAGTTAATACTATTGCGTTGTCCTACCACAGTTAATGCTACTACTTTCTACGCGGTTATTCCGGCACTGATCACAATGCTTCTTTCTGTTTCGCACGTCTCACTGACGTGTGTCTAATTTACGTTCGAACTGTTATTCGCGCGGATCGCGTTACACAGCTTCAATATCTCCCCGACCAGAGCCTGGAGACCCTGGACAACGGCAAACCGTACACCGCCGCGTACTATGGCGACGTTGCCGCTCTGTCGAAGATCCTGCGCTACTACGCCGGCTGGGCGGACAAGAACCACGGTTACGTGCTGCCTGCCGACGGCAACTACTTCGCGTACACTCGCCACGAGCCCGTCGGTAAGTCGCCAGTTGATGTTTTGCAGCGACTAACAAAGATGCGGTCCAGTGAGAGAGATAGAGCGAGAGAGAGAGAGGGAATTAGAACAGCAGCAGCATTTAGAAGAGTGTGTACAGCATAGTGTTCGCCAGTTGAGAGAGAAAGAAAGATAGAGAGATAGAGATTGTTAAGAGAGAAAGAGAGATAGAGTGAGGTAATTAGAATAGCAGCAGCATATAGGACAATTACTTTATTACTAACCACTACAGGGACAGGGCACAGTGATAAAATTTAGTTTCGACGAGTACTTGTTAAGGCGCCTTACGCTATATTAGTTACTCGGTAGAAACGACTACCGATTGACTGCGATACGAGTTTACTTTGATAAGAATTTAAATGAACTGCCTACGAAAATATCTATATGTTCGAAAGAGCTTAATAAACTTCACAATGACAAAGTAGTTTTCTTCCGCTTCTGTGACAAAAATAAACTAAAACATATGTATATGAGCAATTATATTTTCCATGTTTAATCATTTTTTCTAGGTGTTTTACTTCCGTATTTAAAGATGACAATTAGGTCTTGATTATATTTAAATCTATCAAGTGGAGTATCGTTAATAACCTCGCAAGTTAACTTCCCAAATTTTTAATTTTCATTGAAGATATTTGTTTTGCAACAAATATTCGATAAGTTAAGTGAACTCATAGATAACATTTAATCAGACCACCGTAACGCGCGTTATATCGTGCGCAAATACTGGAAGATTTCCAGAGATAACCCGTTCCGCTAAGTGCACTCAGCACTGGCGAAGATGTCGTTTTTACCGTGTGTATAAATTCCTTTGGGCAACGGTTTTGTTTGCGTCCGCTCCGTACAAGCGTTTTGCTATCGTTCTCGACGTTTCCAATTACATGTCTCACACACCACTGATAATTGCTATCAAAGCGGGCGAATGTCAAATATGACGTGTTCGAAGGTGACAAAATATCGGGTTACCAGCGATTACGTAACATTCTTTGAAATCAACAAAAGCGAAATCTACAAACAATTTTAAATCGTTTGTTGTCATCAATAAGCCTTAAATTTATTTTATTCATATTATCCCTCTCTTTCCCTCTAGCTCTATTTCTGTACCCCCCTATGGTCATATTGACGTGGGCCAACTTTTCTTGCTTTCAAATCCCTATCCATCATTCTTTTCAAATTGAGAATATAATATTAGAATTATTGGGTTTGTTTATTAGTTTACTAAAATGCCGACGCACATAAACCTCGGCTGCAAATATATTGAAGCCAAATCAAGAAATTTCACTAGTCAATCTCATAACAATGTTGAAAATTCCCTAGATGTCACTGATTCCACGAGTGATGGCCGCGTGTTTGCAATTCCTCTGCACACTACTCATTTCCAGTTCAACCGTTTACTGATGTTGGTATTTTAATATCGCTTTGTTCTACTCCCTGTTGTTGCTAACGTGGAGATGGAATGCGAATTTAATGTCTTGTTGATTAGTCATAAAATATGCATGTTACATAATTATATATACGCAGACGAGTAACTCAAACCACTCAAAGAATAATCGTCAATGCCCTAAGGCACCTAGGGTATACCTGGACGGGGTTTAATAGACCCCAATCATACGAAGGCCTCGAATCAGAGAAAACAAACGCAATGCCTACTGTAGATAGTAAATCTACAATCTCTGCCGTAAGTGGATAGCGTTAGCTGCTTCTCTCACTTATGCCTATTCTTTTAATGTAACCTCTGAAGAGGTTAAACTTAAAGAGTTTGTATGTTGTATCTTATAAAACATTTCGTCAAATTTTCTCAATGTTTTCGAATGTAACCTCTTTTGGCACTAGTGTGTTACAGAATACATTTAGTCAAATAGTATGCTAATAATATATTATCTTGCCGTGGAACACAAAAGGAGAAACAAGGAAAACATGTTTTCAACATTCACGGGGCAATATTATTACTAACTAGAAGTTGGAAGTATTGGTCGAATTCGACCGTAATTCAATAAATATGATCTTGTTTTTCAAACTCTGTTTATATATATGAACTGTAGACTTTATTATTTTATGTATATATGCAAATTTTATACAAGAACTAAATCTCATTACCCCTCCGCCCGGGTAATTTTCGTAAAAATGGGTATAAAGTTTTTGTTTTACGTGTTAATGTATCTATAATGATTGAAGTGTTATTTTGCGTCATTGATATCCTCAAATGCTATCTCTCACAATGAAATATGCCATATCATGATGAGAAAATCAAAGTTAACGTTATGATAAACATGTTTACTGACTTTGCCTAGACGGATATAGTAAAAAAAGTAATAAAAATGAACGAATTTTATTCTAGTTTAACGCTAATTGATGCCTCCAAATTCAGGCTGCTATAAACTGCTATAAATTTACAATAAATACAATTAAACTGTTCACAATATCGTTTTGTTTTTAAAAGTAACATTATCGTGATCGATAAGTACGATTACTAAATTGTCATCGTATCAATTATGTAACAATTTTGCCGTCTGCAAATCCTTAGAGCGTGCTTATCTCTGTTTATCTCTGATTGTTGATAAATATTGTTATTAAATAATTAATTGTCCAAAATTATTTTCTTTTATTAGACAATGATAACCGGTGATAAGAAGAATATCTATTTAATTATTTTATTTACACATATTTGCTTATGCTGATTATTATAGTTCCATTAAAATATAAAAAAACCGCTTATGTTACTCTAATAACAGTTAAATAACAAAAAGGTCAACATCAAACGTATTAAAATCTTAGAAATAGGATAGGATTACTTAAGTCGATGACTGTGTTTACATTGGCATATTTTTTAATTAAAAGTTTTTGGTATAAATTTTTAAAACATTAACAACTCTCAAACAACAATCAAAATAAAAACATTTGCTGTTGTGGATTTAAAGCATAATAGCTAAAGAAACTAAAGGCAGGCTTTTTCCGATTCGTTGAAGAATTAAAGCCAGATTCATACTTATATATTATACTTAATAATATGTATTTTTTTCTCATTATGTTACACGGACAATGTTCTAATGTACTGAAGGAAACTGGTTTCTGATATAGAAATATAATTAAGATCTACAATATACAACACTATATATTCAATAAATTATTATATTTACACCGCCTTTCTACTTGTGAAAGTATTTTTGAAATTATAGAACGTCCATAAAATATATTATTATTACCTAATCTTTTGTCGTCCGAATCCACGAAAACCGCTATTTTAAGCTATTTAATGGTAGCTCTATTAAATAGATTTGTGTCTGTTTAAATTGGTAGTTTTATTCTCGCTTTGCAGCTAATAGCTGAATATCTTGAATGGTGGATGTGGCTCATGGGATCGCTCTCAAACCAAAAAGACACTTTAGGACTGATAGGAAAACTGTTTATTTCAACTTAAACATTTTGAATTTATTTTAGACCAAACGTAATGATTATGAAATTTATATAAAATACAGGAGTTATATCAGATAGCTATACATGTTACATCTTCAAACGATTTTTACGGAATCATCAAATATGACAATTCAGTCTGAACAAATAAAACTAACATTCCAAATTTAAAGTATTTCAAACATAATACATAAACAGGTCACAGTTGACATCAAAAGAGTATGTATAATCTGAGATTACCAATCAACACACCCCCTTAATCTCAGATATACATCATAACACCAGACAAGTACAGAAAACCCAAAAAATTTAGAAATTATCAACAAACAAACTACCAATCATAAAACAACAATAACACACTCAACAAAAACCACAAAACTCTTACTAATAACTAAAACCACAAAAATACAACAAAAACATAATCCACTATAAAGAAAGAGATATCAAAAATTCGGTAAAAAGTTTCTCTGAAAAATTCCGTTTTGAATTCCGATCCTTTCCCCCTTACAACAATCTCACACACACGCTTCCACTGCGCGAATCTCTATTATTAACACCCCCTCTACATTTGCACTACCTACACTAAAAGGTTAAGAATCAAAATACCTAAAAATCTTAATAACGTCTATCAAGACAATAATACCAATGTTCCACATCAGGAGCTTGTTTTAGACCGTAAAGACTCCTCTTCAACCCACAAATCTTCCCCTTCTTCACAACAAAACTTTTAGGAACTTGCATAAAAATCCTGTTCTCTAGACTCCCACGCAAAAACGCCGTCCCGATATCGAACCGTCTCAACCCCAAATTCCTCCGAGTCGCCATCGACAAAATAATTCCATGCTAACCCCCTTGCACCACACCATCTCCCCTCTCACCGGAGCCAACCGCCTCTCCAAAAGTAAAAGTGCACACAGCCAAAAAATCCAAACATAATCCGTATTCCTCTCAGGTAAAGACCTATTTATCGGTGGATCCCTCCCTGGACCCACAAACTCCGCTACAACCTCCGTCTTCCCTTCCATTAAGACCTATTTCTCGGTGGATCCCTCCCTGGACTCACACCCTCCGCAACAACCTCCGTCTCCTCTTCAAAAAAAAAACCTATTTCTTGGTGGATCCCTCCATGGACTCACACCCTCCGTCTCCTCATAAAAACCTATTTCTCGGTGGATCCCTCCATGGACTCACACCCTCCGTCTCCTCCTCATAAAAACCTATTTCTCCGTGGATCCCTCCCTGGACTCACACCCTCCGCAACAACCTCCTCTATTATATCTCCACTCGCATCCAAAAAAACCATCAAAATCTCCTTTATTCTCTATAACTTCAACTTCACTATAAGATTATCAACAAAATCCAACTTCCTCATCTTCAATTGTGTTTCGGCTTAAAACTGAACGCATTACGACGCAGTGTACGCTGATTGGTCTATGTTTGTTAGGTCATATTCGCAACAATTGTCAAATTTCATATTCAAAACTTACCGCAACTGTAATAGTCGTTATTCAAAATTATATACTTAGAATCTGCGCAAGATCTTTCATTTTTTGCAAAAATATCAAGCGCTAACAT